TTTTGTATTTAATTTATATGGGAGGTGCCACGCCCCTAATGCTAGTCCGCGTACTTTTTGTCCTAAATAATTATATTGACACTTAAGTTGCTCCGACAAAATTTGAGGGCTCTTACTGTTGTATTATCTAAAATATACGGATTTAATATTTTCTTAATATGGGCGTGGCTCCTCGCTCCTCGTAAGTCTAATGCACATACACATATATATATACACATATATATATATATATATATATATATATATATATATATATATATATATATATATATATATATATATATATATATATATATATATATATATATTTCTTCTTATTTCAACAAAAGAAAAATGGAGAAAATCGGTAAATATCTGCCCCCATTCTTATCATAAAACTGGAGTAGAGTGGGTAAAATTGTTGAAAAATTCATTTTCAAATGCAAATATCGCCTAAGCTATAAGAGATAATTGATAGGTTTTATATATAATCGAGGTGTCCTACTTTGCGGACCCCTCATTGTGCCCCTGGTGGGTGCATGTAGTTCAAATGCAAAACTTAAACTCTTTCTCTTAACTTAAACTCTTACTCATGTAAATCGGAAAAATTGTTGTAGAATTTAAAAATGGGAAAAAAAAAAACTTTTTACATATTTTATTGAATTTAAGTTTATTTATTAATATTTTTATGTTTAAAAAAATACTAAAAAGTGAACTCATCTCTTAAAACCATATTCATTATTGGCAATAATATGATTTCCAGCAATTACCAACTGCAAAAACAATTAGATAATGCCTTCAGACTTATAAGTTAATTATTGTCTATTAGGACTTACAGATGTTTTCATAGCAGTATTATTGGTGATATTATTTCCTTTAATTACCATCTGTAAAAACAATGAAATAATGTATTGCGACTTACAATAAGTTATTGTCGATAAGGACTTACACTGAGAGCCGGGAGAGCAAAGACGATAATGCAAAAAGTTGATAAAAATATTTGAAATAACTTCATCTTACAAAAGAACTTCTTTTGATTGTTTCCTTTTCAGAACAGTAAACAAAATGCCCCCGCTAATTGTATTTATATACATGTGTCTCCAGCAAATTAAATATTATAATAATCATCTAATTTATCAAGAATTAATATGCGGTTTAGAGTGAAAATATTAGGCATTATGGGATATTTTAAAACTAAAAATAAACAAGTTAGAGTGCTATATTCGGCTGAGCCGAATCTTAAATACCCTCCACCAGCTACTTTTATATTAATACTTCTCTAATTGATCAAATATTTGTAGAAATAAGTCTTCTCATGTCTTAAATAGAAAAATCCCAAGATTTAAACAGCTTAGATCTATTACAATTCCAAGATTTATTGAACATTATAAACGCCATTTTCTTTTATATTTTTATAGTGCTTAACAATATTTAATAATTTGCATATATGCATGTGTGTGAAAGATTTAAGGATTTTAAAAATACATACATATATATAATTTTGTTCTACACAAATTGATAATGCAAATAGTTAAATAAGGTTAAAGCGCTTTTAGGGGCAGTTCATAGTATGGGAAATAAGATCAATTATACACCGATCGTAAAAAATTCTTTAAGCTAAATTTCTGTACATAAAAGCTATATTTCAGTCAAATTTTGTATCTATATCGTAATTTAGTATAGCTTTATTTGGTAATGAGTACTGTGCGTTTAAGAGATTTTCGTAAAAGGAGCTTGTATGGGAGCTATTACCAATTGTGTATATAAAGACAAAATTTCAAAATTCTGTATCTATATCATTATTTGGTAATGAATATTGTTCATCTAAGTGATTTTCTGCAGGGGACCAAGTATGAGAGCTATGATCAAATATGGACCGATCGGGAAAAAATTTCACAGTAATATTTCTATGCATATGGGCAATGCTTAAACCAAATTTTATATGGATATCTTAATTCAGTAATGAGTTATGCGCGTTTAAGTGATTTTCGGGAGGGGAACTTGTATGGGAGCTATGACCAATTATGGACCGATCCTGAAAATGTTTTCTCTGAATGAATTCTATTGACATAAGATTTTAATTTGTAAAATTTTGTGAAGATATCAACATTCTGACGGAAGTTATTAACAAAAAACCCATTTTCCGGGAATATGTACTTTTGTATGGGAGGCATATGAAGTTGTGAACCGATTCTGGCAGTTTTCAGCAGAAATCAAGCTCTTGTGTAGAAACGAATGTATGGTGATTTTCATGGAATTTCCTTGCATAGTTTTCGAGAAAATTACATCAGAATGTGTAAAAAATGCTTATTTTTTTCGAGGTTGTTTTAAATTTTGATGCATAACTTTTCCCGGTGTGAACCGATTTTGCCCAATACCAAACAACTTAGGAAAATTAAGAACATTTTAGGTGAATTTGGGTAAACTCTATTGCTTCGTTTTACAGTGAGCGTGTTTTACACAGACAGACGGACATAGCTAAATCGACTCAGAATTTCATAAGGACCAAGAATATATATACTTTGTTGGGTCTCAGATGAATATTTCTTGGTGTTACACACGGAATGACAAAGTTATATATACCCTCTATCACCACTGATGGTGGTGGAGGGTATAAAAATAAAAATAAGTACCTATATTAAAAAGTTGGTCCGGTTGTTTTAGCAATAACAGCAAAAACTAAGTAGTGGCTTTCAATTGTAATTACTTACCCATCAACATACTTTTCAATCACAACTACATATCGTCTGGATTACTTAGAAGTAGCCTAATAAGGCCTTACTAATAATGTGTTATATAAATACTTTCTAATTCATTAGACATCTTGCCAGTGAAGATGTGGAAACTGCATACGTTTCTTTATGCAATTTACAATTACTACTTTTTAATCGTTAGTGGTAACTACTTGCTCCCAATGACATCACCGTGTTAAAATAATGACTTAAAATGCTGTTGTGTAAGTTAATTTTAGCACTTTAATCCTTTACACGGTAATGAAAGTTTTTACCGGGTATGTACATATTTTTTTCATATAGATATTTGGATTAGTTTTGGGCCAGTCCTAATCTTTTGAGAAGTACTCTTGACTCGGGTGAGCGGAATCTTAATTTTTGAATAAACTACTTACTTAACTGCCTATAAGCAGGCGATCTTAGTAAGTACTTAAACAAAAAACAGGAATAGAAATTATCCTAGACTCCAAATTATCATGGAAACTTAACATCCAACACAGAGTCAAGAAGTCAACGGTCGCTGTTGTAAGATGTTTGGTATGAAATGGAGGCTTAGTCCCAACATACATAGTTAAATGGATGTATACAGCCATAGTACGTTCTACTCTTATATACGGATCTCTTGTATGATGGACTTCAACTAAGAAGAAATTTGTTTTGGATCAGCATGCATTGGGATAACAGGTGCTCTAAGAACTAGTCCTTCAGAAGCTCTGAACACTATATTGCACATTCTATCTATAGATTTGCATATAATGGCCATATCTATCTATACAGCGCAGCGAGGCTTAACTAATCCGGAAGTTAGAGATCATTATCATATGGACACGCTAAGATCTTTAACATACTACTTCCAATCTTGAACCAATCACCCGACTATAATACCCCTTTGATAGAGTTTTCAAAGAGCGAATATACCACCAGAATCTTTACAAATGGTTCTACAATGAACTGCGGTGTTGGTTCTGGTGTCTTCTTTGAAGAAACTGGGGTAGGTATATCTCACCGTGTTCCCAAAAACTGTGGTGTTTTTCTGGCTGAAATTTTTGCGATAATGTCAGTCGAGAGGCTCTTCTTTCCCTAAAATCCTATACTACCACTTCCCTATAGGTCAGACAATTCAATTAGGATCTTTAAAGGCATTAAGACATTACCCTGTTTGAGTCCCTACGCATAGTGACTATTATGAACATGAACAGGCAGATGAGCTTGCCAAAACGGGATCTGCTCTTGATATATCCAACGCCGTTAGGTTTTATCGAAAGCAGTATCCTCAGATTCTTTCTGCAAAAAGCTGAAATTAGATGAAATAACCCAGACACCTGTAAAGGGGTTTAGTTATTTTGGTCTTCTTTCAATGAGAAACGCACAAGACACCTTATAACCCGAAATTGGCGGGATATATCAAGATTGATAGCAGTAATAACAGGACACTGGGTGCTAGGCAGACATTCATGTCGTTTGGGGCTCCTCTTTAAAGAGTACTGTCGCAGTTGCAAAGACAGGGAAAAGGAGAAAACTGAAAGGAGAAACAGTTTTCTTGGTAGCTACTTCATATCCAACCTTGGTGAGATATATGGGTCTAAGCTTAATGACATCTTGAGATTTTCCACGGCTATATACTGAATATAATACTACATCTGACGAGTGAAGTGGTCCGATCAAAACGGAGTCCCTTTAACTCTAGTTGACGGTTTGCGCGCTATGAGCCACCACGATAACCAACCAAGTGAAAAACAGATATCTGATTCAGTTTGAGCCGCTAAAAACACATTAAGATCAGTCAAATTGGTTTCAAAAGTTTTACAAACCTTCATTTCGTTGGCCTGTGTTATTATTAATAATTCTACTTTTACTATATAAAAACCTAACTGTTATTCATGCATATTTGTGGTCAAAAATAAAAATATTATAAATGAAAATTCATTTTAATTATAATACATGGGGAAATTTTCTGATTATTTTTCTGTAAAGATATAAAAAAAGTAGTCTGCGAATCCGACTACATAATAATATACACAAAAAATTATATCCATAAGTGTTAAAAACCTAGATTTAAGGATCTACTATATAAGAATAATAATACATAATGACCTTTGGAAGTACCTATTTGTTCCCGAATTGAAATTAACTATTTGATGAATCGACTCTGTGTATTATTTCGATTATTTTAGAATATCAAACGTTAACACAAACGCATAACACCCACCCCATCTAAGAACATGTAGTGAACTAAGAACAAAAATCTTTTAAAATTTATATAAAAAGGTGTAAAGTGGAAAATTATTCAACAGTATTCCAACATATTTGGTTGCGGAAAAGAGAAAAATATGCAAATAATTAAATTATTCTTTGTAGTCGCTTGTATTGTTGCCGGTGCTATGGCTGCTCCAGATAATGTAAGTTTAATTTTTCAAAATTTTTGTCATTTTTGTAATTATTATTCAATATTTTCAGTATAATGCTCAAGGTGTTCTTAACACCGGTTACTTGAACCAAGGTGGAAAATAATATAAATTATGACATTGAATGTAATTTCAAATATGTTCTAATCAAACCAAATGAGACTTGAAAAATAAAATTCAATTAAAACAAATTTTAGTTTATCTTTTATTTAATAATAACCTTCTGCCTAAAGTAGTACGTTCATTGAATAATCTTCAAAATTGTTACCTGTACTTTGATTACAAGGTTTACCTTATAAAACCAAAAAGTATAATTTCCTATAGATTTGCATTAACTTAAAACACTTAATGTTTAATATTATGTTTCATGATTCAATATTATAAAGAATTCAAAAAGTACTCTTTGAAGAAGGAAAAAGTACTAAAAAGTCCTCTTTTACATCTACTCACTTCGGGCTCTACATGCTTAATATTATGTTTTTTTTAAGTTCAATACTATAGAAAATTCAAGAAAGCACCTTTTTAAGAACGAAAAAGTACCAAAAAGTCCCCTTTTAGAGGTTCTCACTTAATCCGGGCTCTACATGCTTAATTTCAAGTTTCTAGGTTCAATAATATAGAAAATTCAAAAACTACATTTTGAAGAACGAAAAAGTACCAAAAAGTTCCATTTTATATATTATCTTATAATCCGTGTTCTACAGCTTAATTTCAGGTTTCTATGTTTAATATCATAGTAAATTCAAAAAGTACCTTTTGAGGAACGAAAAAGTACCAAAAAGTTTCTTTTGATATGTTCTCATTCAATACTGGCTCTACATGCTTACTTTCATATTTATAGGTTCCATATTATAGAAAATTGAAAAAGTACCTTTTGAAGAACGAAAAAGTACCAAAAAGGTTCGCACTTAATCCAGATTCTACATACTTAATTTCATGTTTCTAGGCAATAACAAAACACTGCCTCATTCGTAACGTGTTGTTAATTATACCCTACACCACTTTAGTGGGCATAGTATATTGGGTTTGTGCTGATGTTTGTAACGCACAATAATATTAGTCCTATAAGTTAAAGTATACCAATCGGCTTAGAATCATTTTCTGAGTCGATTTGGCTATGTCCGTCCGTCTGTCCGTAATCAAACTACAGGTCGCAATTTTGAAGATAATTCAATGAAATTTGGTACATGATCGTTTATTGTCACACGAAGCCTATTGAAAATGGTTAAGATCGGTCCATTATTTCACCTAGCCCCCATACAACTGAACCGCCGAATAGGGCTTGTAAACCTTGTAATCAAACTACAGGTCGCAATTTTGAATAAAATTTAACACATGATCTTTTATGGTACCGGAGACGAAGCATATTGAAAATGTTTAACATCGGTCCATTATTTCACCTAGCCGCCATACAACTGAACCCGCCGAATAGAGTCTTAAGCTCATAATTATGTTTAATATACTCGTATCTCGACAAAAAGCTGCAAAACCAAGTTCTATACTAGCCTTAATGACCCTCAAAAATTTTATAGTTATAGGGTCTCATTTGACCATAGCCCCTATACAAAGCCCCCTTCAAAATTTGACTTAAATGTCCGCAATTTTATTCAACAATAAATGACTTAAGTATATCTGAGGCAAGGTACAATTCAACTTAAATGCATTATTATGAAAACTAAATCACATTTTAATTTTGTAACAGGTGTAGGGTATTATATGGTCGGCATCGCCCGACTATAATTTCTTACTTGTTTTTTTGTGTGTTGATGTTGTAATTTCTGTCTCAGCATGCATAAAAATTTAAATTTTGTATGAAATTTTCAGAGATTGCATCAGATTTTTGCTCATATCTCCGTTATTAATGGATCGATCTTTTTGATTTTTAATAGCGTTCTTCCAGTTCGTATGTCTGATAGAATTATTAAAATTTCGGATCTCGCAGATATCTGGGGTCTTCTCAAAACTCATTTCAACATACACGCGAACAAACAGACAGACATGGCTAAATTGACTCCGCTATCTATAAGTATTCAGAATATATATACTTTGTAGTGTTGGAAAATTATGTTATAGAAAACGGAATGACAAACTTATATATACCCTTTTCACGTGGCATGTTTTTTGATGACAGACCCTCATCTTGGTGTATTGCAATCCCAATTAACCCAAATTCGCGGGAAGAGTAAGTTGCGGTTAAAAGACTGATACACGGTGTAATCTATATTTCGGGATAAGTTCGGTGATGTTGTCGATTGACAACAGATACCCCACAGAGGAGTGGCTGTGGGACTAAGCGGAACTCATCCGCCCGTATAACTAGAGTGAATCCGTCGTATGTTGTTCTCTTATGAGTGTGTCGGATAAATGAGAAATGTGCGGGGATGGTTGAAAGATATCTCATATAAGTGATATCATTGAAGTTTCCTTCCTTGTCCAGGTATGTTCAGAGTAAACTCTGTTCATACCAGATTTACCACAATGTGAGTATGAACAAAGTCTCGGCTTATTTGATGGGTTCGTACTTCGGTCTATCGGTTACGTCTCTAGGTGTTGTTGCCGACTCAACAGAGGCCATCCTGTATGCGTGGTTGTAAACGGGAGTGATGTTTTTGCATCTCCGAAGTTAAGCAATGGTCAGAGATTAGATAGTTCAAGTACTTGAGCAAAGTGCACGGACCGGAAATTCCATATACGTAAATTGCCACCTGCGTGTAACAACCACAATGGGGCGGTGGTGAGTCGTTACAAAAGCTCACCGAGTGGTTGAAGATGACCACCGTGAAATAGGCCAACACGGAAGGTGTTTACGTAAAGCACTCGACATTATAATTCTGATATACATATTTATTTAATAATGATATATGTTCGTTTCATTGTATTCGTACGTGAACCTTATATTGTATATGTTACTGACTGATCGTAAAAAATACTCAAAATATATAAAACAAACTAAATTTAAAAGTTTTGCTTTAAAAACCAATAACAATTTTACATTAGGCAGATGGGTAGATTGTCATAGAACGTAATGAGTATGCTGAATATGTATTGCTAATAGGTAAGAAAGTAATTTTGATTTGATTGTATACTTTAAGCGTAGAGCCAATATTACAAACATTAGTACAAACCAGTTTTAAGAAGTATACTTTATACGAGTGAGCGTAGTCTTAATTTTTTTGAATAAGTGACGGAAATATTTTTTAACAAAACTACTTACTTAACTCCCTATTAGTAGGCGATCGTAGTTAGTACTTACCTAACTCCCTATTTGTAAGCGACTGTGGTAAGTAATTGCCTCCAATGTCATCCCCGTGTTAAAATTATGACTTAAAATGTTATTGTGTAAGTAAATTTTAGCATTTTAACCCCTTAAAGATATTATAAACCGTACAGGTTAAACTCAATACGGCCTTGAGCTGGGCTCAACCGAGAGGCCTCAATGTTAACCCGGCGAAGACGGAAATCTGTTTTTTCGGAAGAAAGACAAAAATTTCTACGTATACTGAACCCTGCTCCCTGGGCAAGAAGATACCGGTGACAGACAAAGTTAAGTACTTAGGTGTAATCCTTGACCGGAAATTAAAGTGGAGACACCACATAGAGGATAGGATCAACAAGGCACATCGGTGCTGGGCGTTAGTCCTACTATGACAAATTGGCTTCATAAAAGTGTAATTAGACCAACTCTAGCTTATGCTGCAATAATCTGGAGAAAGGCTTTGACAAAAAGTGTAATATCAAACTACTACGGGGAGTTGAGCGTACATGCTACTTGGGTATAAGTGGTGCCACTTGTACTACTTCAACCAAGGCTCTGGAAACGTTGCTAGATATTCCACCTATTGAAACATATTTAATATATAAGGCGGCACTTACAGCCGAACGGCTCTTTACTTTAGGCGAACCGGCCAAATCGGTTACAGAACACGACATCAATGAATACTGGACTCATTTGATCGGACGTGCCTGATCCAGACACAGAATATTTTGGAATTTTCGAAACGCTGATCCCATATAGAATGTCTTGGTCAAGCGGAACAAATACCAGCAGGAATCCGTTGCTACACGGATGGCTCTTAATTGGGGGACAAAGTGGGCTTGAGGTTCTATATTGAAGACCCAGAAACTGAAATATAACACCGTTTACCTAATCATAACATAAGCTTCCAGACAGAAGTCCGAGAAATAACGGAATGTGTAAATTGGATTATAATAATAATATTTTTACCGACAGGCTGAAGGCAATTAGGGCGATATCAGGTGATAGAATTAAATCTAAAACCGTATTGGATTGTAAGAAAGTTTTAACTGAATACTCTCCCGGAGGTACATCATATGGGTACTCTCCCAGAGGTACTTCATATGGGTACTCTCCCAGAGGTACATCATATGGATATCAGGCCACTCGGGAGTAGTCGGCAACGAAAGGGCGAATGTAATAGCTTTAAAGGGAAGGGAGCTCGAGGTAGTTAAACTGACAAACGCAAAACCATTCGGCGCAACAACAGCTGAATTAAAAATATGGATGAGAGAATCCCATAAGTCCTCTTGGAATAATGAAACGGTGGGTAGAACCACAAAGATCCTATGAGGTGACCCTTTCATCCAAATCGATATTTTGAGTTGGTCACTTCACACGATATTGCCCTTATATAAAACTTAGTTGTGGCGATTTTGGTAAATATAATACAACAAAAGTTTTGTTTCTTGGAAAAGAATGTAAAAGTATGTGCAAAAATTTCATCAAATTATCTAGAAAACTGCACCCTGTAATTTGATTACATCGCTAAATCGATTCAAAAATTAATTCTGAGACAATCCAAATCATATAATCAGACTTTGAGGTGGACGTAGAACCAATATTTTTATGCGTTACATACATCAGCACAAACATCACCTTAGTGGGAAGGGTATAAATAGTCATTAGTAATATCCGTAATTTTATAAAACCAACTGTTATTCATTTGTGGTAAAAATCAATAAAAACCCATTTAAAATTAATTAATTTTAACTATGAATCATGTATAAACTATTGAAGAAAGTATGTATATACTGCAACAACGACTATATAATACCACACACAAACAAAAAGGTACATACATACATATGTATGTATGTATATCATATACAAACATGACTCGGAAGTTGAGACAAAAGACACCAATTCCCATTTTAGCAGCTATTTTCTTATTAATCCAGTGACATATCAAGCTAAAATATAATTCGGGTGAATTTCTTTATGATCCATTTATTTCAATATAACAAACATTAACACCAACTTATAATACCTACCACACCATCAGATACGGAGTAGGGTAAAATAATAACGTATAAAAATGCTATGAAAAGGAACAATATTCAATAGTATTCCAATAAGTTTTATAGCGGAATCAAAGTATTTGTTAGTAAAACAATATGAAAGTAATTAATTTTTTCCTAATAGTCGCTTGCATTGTTGCCACTGCCATGGCTGAACCAGGAAATGTAAGTTTTAACTTGTATGTTTCCATTTTAAAATAACTTTTAAATAAATATTTATTAATATTTCCAGACTAATGCACAAGGCGTTACTAATTCCGGCTACTTTTTCCAAGGAAGTAAATAATTGAAGTTATTATCCTATTGAATTGAAGTAGTTGATATAAATAAAGAAAAACACATTTTATTAAATTTATAATGTGTGAATAAAAAAGTTTAACCCTATATATGTATATCTGTATCGAAAATTTTCAAATAATTTTACATATGGCTCATTCGGCATTCAAGTGTGGTATAACTCAAAATTAACGGGTTTTGAACTGAGTACAGCAAAATAAGAGCCTTTCCAATGTCTTTCATATAATTTGATCCGGACATGGGGGGTAATGATTATACAAAGTAATTCATTACATGGTCAATTACAATTACTTGTACATAATGAGTAATTGAGCAATAACCAATTATAATTACTTGTAATTGTAATTGAAGTTTCCAGTTAAAATTACTTGTAATTGTAATTAATGTATTACTAATTACAAATTACATGTAATTATAAGGCACAAAATTCACAATTACAAGTAATTGTAATTGGCAAAACTTCAATTACCATTTCAAGTAATTGTAATTGGCAAAACATCAATAAATATTACAAGTAATTGTAATTGGTAAAGCTTCAATTATAATTACTTCAAATGTAATTGTACTTTAAAATGTAGACATTACCCCCCAAGCCCGGTTTGATCTATTTTGAAAACTGTCCATTATTTTTGGAGTGAGTGTGCCAATTTGGTATTAAGAGTCAGATATTATTTTTTCCAGCGAGAAATAAATCGTCACTATTGGTCAATAAGTAATCCCGAGAGAAAATTGTTATTTCAAACAACCCCCCCCCCCCCCTAAAGTTAATTGTAAAGACAGTTGTCACCACAATAAGCGAGGGAGAAATAGGTTCCAATATATAAAGGTTGGTCCAAATAAAAAAAAATTCAAAATATTTTTTGAATTTATCTCATAAATGCATTCGAATTGCGCGAATCTTATAAATACATTCATACACCATCAAAACATGTGATATGATAGGTTTAGGTTAAGAAGGGTTATACACCATAAAAACGGTGCATACCCATTCGGAGACCTTAAGGTCCTTTGTAATTCCCTTCAAGGCGTGAGTATTCAAAAAACAGAAAAATAAAATAAAAACACACTACAAGTAAAAGCAGAGAAGAAGGTAAAAAGGATAGATATAATTGGTACATTACAATCCAATCTACTATTCCAGGACTGGATTATGATGTCACGGATTCTTTCGAATATCAGCCTGAAATAGTGGTGGTTTTAACATCCTCATAATGTCCCTAAGGGCGTTTCTACAATCTACAACCAGGCATGTCACGGATTCTTTTGAATATCAGCCTGTAATAGTGGTGGTTTTAACATCCTCATAATGTCCCTAAGGGCGTTTCTACAATCTACAACCAGGCGCGAATGTACCGTGTGACAAGCCAATGTTATGAGAGCAGCTTGACTATCAACATAAATTGTCACAATCGACCCCGGATCGATATGATTCCGTATCAATTCCGTCACTTTTCAGATCGCTAGGATCTCTGCATGGAAGACACTACATTCGTCATGGAGTCTGAAGGACCGTTTTATGTTGATATCAGCGATGTAGACACCGGCACCGGTGCCGGTATCCATCTTGAACCCGTCTGTGAAAACTGCACACCCACCAAACAGTCTATCGGATACAAGCCAATCATCCCTAGTTGGAAATTCTATCAAAGGTGTTTCCCCGAAGTCTAGAGTCGTAGTATCATAATATGATATGTATAGATAGATTTTGGTTCGTAAAGAACTTGTTCGATATACATAAGCCCTTTCTTTTCGGTATCAACAGAAGGACGGAAGCACAGTGGTTTAGAAACTTTTATTTTTGGAAATAATGCGGTATCTCTGAAAATATCGCAATGAAATCTCACATGTTTGGAGCTGAGGTGTTTACGAGTTTATTGACAGTTGTAGGTGATTGAGGACGTAATGGGAGCCAGTGGGTAACCTCTCAAAGTTGATCACCTCGGGTATTAAATTTTTTTTTAAATCGTCAAAAATACATTTATGATCTGAATAAGCTGAAATTTAAAATAAAGTTAGTAGTTAATTCTTTAGTATTTAGTATCATTGAAAACATAATGACTTAGGGATTTAACGTTAATAGATATATAATGTAACGGATCTTTTATTAGAACACCATTTACGAAAAAGTGAAAAAATTAGTATGTAGAGATTTCTTAAAATTTGAGTTAATGTAAAATTTGAACCGATAAAGATATTGGAACAAAATTTTGGACATATATAGATCCAAGTTTTTCTAAAAAAAACACCGTTACCAGTTGTCTCATTTTCTATATAAAAATACCAAAATTCCTAAAGCGGAAAAAATGTCTTCCAAAAAATTAGTTTTTTGATAAAAGTGCCTACTGTGACGTTATTTACCCTGTGATAGTAGAAATGCTTTGTATATATTTAAGGAACATATGTGGCTATATAAATATGGGATCGTTGTGAGGATTAGTGCTTTGCGTTTTTTAAATTTTTTATTCAAATCAAAATATTTTTATTTTCAAAATTGACTAAGTTTGGATAGGGATGGTGGGGGATGTGTTCGCTTAAATGAGCCAAATTTTATTTTACACTCTTCTACATTAAGTTCTCTTTTCGAATCATATAAAATTTGTCTATAGTCCCAAATAAAATTTGTTTCTATAAGAAAAAAGAATACAGGGACTTTTTTGGGAAAAAAGCTAAAAAATACGGCACTTTCTACATGTTGCAACTTTGAATGCGTCTAACTTTTTATAGGGACTCGATAACTGTTGAAACGTTGTTTTTGTTTAGAATTTTGTCAGAAATCTAGAGGATATTTTTAAAAAAATATACGGTCCACATTTAAAAACCTAAAAATAGGTGGGACAAATTTAAGAATAAAAAAATGTAAACCTAAATATCTCTTAAAGCAAAAGAGATAACCCACACGTGTAATTTGTATTTGTGTATTTTTTTGTAGACCTTCTCAAGGAGTAGTCACATTTATTTTCAGCACATTCAGATCATAAATGGATTTTTGGCGATTTTTTAAACAAATTTAATACACGAAGTGTTTAACTTTTATGGGCTGCCCACTGGCCCCCAATCCGCCCTCAATCACCTACAACTGTCAATCAACTCAAAAACAAATCAGCTCTAAACATGAGCTCATTGCGATATATTCAATGGTTTCAGAGATAACAAATTATTTCCAAAAATAAAAGTTTATAAACCACTGTGCACTGCTTGTATTAACGACACCTGTACGAATACGTGTTAATTATTTATTGATATTACAAATATTAAGTATACGCCTAATTTGGAGAAGAACTTGATAATAAAACAAGTAAGAAATCTAAGTCAATAAGCGTATGTTGTTGCTTTTTAAAAAAAATTAAAAAAAAACTTTCATTTCATCGACTTCTAAATCAAATTTTAATAACTTTAAAACATTTTTAATAAACGCATTATTTTATACAGGACAAAGGCATTCAAACCTCTTATAGTCGAATTTGCCTTTTTAAGCTAAATAAATCCAAATGGATGAGAATTATCTATTAAGTTCTTAAATAGCGATTCTATAGTATATTTGTCTATGATCATATTTATACCTATAAAATTCATTAATAAACCACATTTAAATTCTTAATAATTATAATGACCCGCATATAATACATTTAATTCGCTAATGACAAGTATAAACGAAATTGTCAGTGCGTAATTTTCTACAGTCCCAGAAAGGAAAGAACCAAAGAAATATCTTTTACGAAATGAAATTATTTCAATTATTTTTTTCAATATTCTGCATTATCGCCCTTACTATGGCGGCTCCCGATGTAAGTCCTCTTAAAAAAATAAAATACTGTAAGTGACATAATTTTTATTATTATTTTTTTGCAGATGATAATTAGAGGAAATAATAATAATTGCAATTCAGGCACCGACGTGTCCTTTAAATTGCTTGGATAGCTTTTTAATTAATTGTATAAGATAATTATATTCAATAAAAATTAAAAATGTTTTAATATAATAAGTGCGGAACTTATATCTTAACTCGATTGTAAATTGAAAATATGCGGTTATACCGAATCTTCTTTTGTGCTGATGTTTGTATTGATCCTACACTCTTAAAGTGTACCAATCGCCTCAGAATCACTTTCTGAGTCGATTTAGCTATGTCCGTCTGTCTGCCTGTCTATCTGTCCGTCTGTGAGTCCATGCAAACTTTGTGCGTACTCTTCAGGTCGCAATTTTCAAGATAATTAGATGAAATTTGACACATACTCTTCTTTTCAGGAGGAAGCCTATTAAAAATAGTTAAAATCGGTCCATTAATTCGTATAGCCCCCTTACAACCGTACCCCCCGAATAGGGCTTTTAAGCTCATAAATATGTTAAATCTTCTTGTATCACTCCAAAGATCGACAAAACTTAGTTTTTCATAAAAATTTTTTTGAATTTTACCTTAATTCCGATGTATTTAAGCAATTTATTAATAAAAAACTAAATTTCTAAAAGAGGCTTTATGTGGGAGTTAGGGTCAAATATGGGCCGATCCTCAACAAATTGGGAAGAAGGATGTAATTTTATATAAAGGTTAGTCATGCTAAATTTCATCTCGATACTAATGGTTATAAATAAATTTTTGGACGTTTAAGATATTTTTTAAACGGGGGTTTGTATGTGGGCTAGGGTCAAACGACGGCCGATCATTATAAAAATTGTCATTTATGCTTATATAAAACTTAGTTGTACCAATTTTTGTTGAGATAGTAGTATATTTGACATAGTTATGAGTTAAAAACCCAAAATTTGAAGGTCAGGTTGTATGGGGGCTAGTTGAAATAATGGACCGATTTCAAAAATTTTTAATTGGCATTCGTCCTTGTGACGAAAAACAAATTTTACATGGACACACAGACAGACGGACATGGGTTGATCAAGTCAGAAAATTATTCCAAACCGATTGTTATACTTTAAGTTGGGTATATGACCAATATTTGTATGCGTTACAAACACAATATACTAAAGTGGTCTAGGGTATAAAAATACTCTTGTGGCTGGGGTTCAAAACCATTTCAAAATTTCTATTTTATTAATATAGTAGCAAGAAAATGTCAAAATGATTCACAATAATTCAGATCAATTTTAAATATTTCTATTCACGTGAAATTGATCACAAGTATTACAAGTATTTCATACCGATCGGAAGACAACGGTTTCAAAGGGTGGGGTCACTGGACATGAAAACCCCATATATAAAGTTGCCCTAAGAAAATGATATTAACGTTCATAACAGACTTTAAAATACCAATTAGCAACGTAACACGAAAAAAAAGTTTTATAAGAACCAAAAACTGCCATTCAAATTACATGAGGATCGGTCTAAATTGACCCAACCGACCTATCTTGCAGAAAATCAGCTTATTGTCAATAAATCGTTAAAAAAATTATGGAATTTAGATGAAATTCTAAATTGGGTCTAAATTGACCCAACCGACCTATCTTGCAAAAAATCAGCTTATTGTCAATAAATCGTTAAAAAATTATGGAATTTAGATGAAATTCGATTAGAAGATCTTATCCATTCTTTCAAATTCTACAGAGTTGATTCCTAAATTGACCCATGCTCTCATTATCGGCTTTATTCCGAAAATCTGATGTTCATATACAAATCAGTATTTTATAGCTAAAATGCAACTCAGCATTCAACTAAACGGTCGATCCATAAAGACTTAAATCCATATATGGAACCACCTACCGAAATTAAGCACATGCTTTGATGGTGAGTGTTTATGATTCGGTATAGCCGCATATTTTCAATTTACAATCGAGTTAAGATATAAGTTCCGCACTTATTCAACTAAATATGTGTTTATTAGTTATATTTTCAAAAAAATTAAATTTTTAAAATCTTATACAGTTAGTTAAAAAGCTATCCCAACAATCTAAAGGACACATCGGTGTTTGAATTGTTATTATTATTATTTCCATTAATTATCATCTGCAAAAAAAAAATAATAATAAAAATTATGTCACTTACAGTATTTTATTTTTTAAGAGGACTTACTTCGGGAGCCGCCATAGTAAGGGCGATAATGCAGAATATTGGAAAAATTAATTGAAATAATTTCATTTTGTAAAAGATATTTCTTTGGTTCTTTCCTTTCTGGAACTGTAGAAAATTATGAACTGACAATTGCGTTTATACTTGTTATTAGCGAATCAAATGATTTATATGCGGATCATTATAATTATTAGGAAATTAAATGCGGTTTATTAATTAATGTATTTTTTTATTTTTAGAACTTAATTTATTTAAAAATTCTCTCCGCAGGGAGACTAAAGACTATACTCGATTTAGGTCTCAGAATGTTATACGTTTTGTGTTCTGTGAGCGTTATTTCGCAGTGTGTTATAAATGACATAATCAAATTAATAACTTAATTGATTTATTTCATATTTGGGTACCTTCGTAGGCTAGTAAGCAATGGTTTTTGGAAAGGAGAGCGCAACAGGCCCGTTATTGGCCTATTTCTTCGCATCTGATGATCTAACATACATGAACTTACTTACGAACTATTATAATACAACCTGACCATTTTTTTTTTTTAATTTGAAAATATCCCTGGTTGATTGATATTTTTAGTCTAAACCGCATTCTTGATAAATTTATAAATTACCATAAATAATATTTAATTTGCTGGAGACGTATGTATAAATACAATTGCAATTTGCAAGTGTTTACAGTTCTAGAAAGGTGGCAACCAAAAAAAGTTCACTTATAAGATGAAGTTATTTCAAATATTTTTTTCAACTTTCTGCACTCTCAGCTTAGCCATGGCGTTTCCTAAAGTAAGTCCTTTTAGACAATAACTTAATGGAAGTTAATATTTTTTTTGTTGTTTTTGCAGATGGTAATAGAAGGAAATAATAATAATTGTAATAAAAATACTGACGTTACATTGGGATTAATTTAGTTTTTAAATATTAATAATAAATAAATTTAAATGCAATAAAATGCAAAGTTTGTTTTTATACCCTCCAACACCACATATATATTCCGGGTCCTAATGTAATTCTGAGTCGATTAAGCCATGTCTATCTGTCTGTCCGTCTGTATATCTGTCTTGCTGTCTGCCTCAAACACGCTCACGTAAAAACTAAGTAAAAGAAAAAAGGGGTCTAGGAAACATTTATCCATGAAGAAATTTTCAATTGCCTATATTTAGGTTCGGTTAGGTTGATAGGCAACTATCGGGCCTGTTATGCGCTCCTTTTCATGGAAAATTTTTGTTGGTAACCTTATATAGTATTCACTAAATGTATTATCGTCCGATTTTTAAAAACTCAGTTTCCTGGACGTAATTCCTAAGAATATCCCGAATAATATCACTTCCAAGATATTTGGATCTAACTTCGGCGAAAGCCTGACAATGGCAAAGAAAGTGTTCCAGAGTTTCACTGTCCTCTCTACATGCTCTACATTCGCATGAATCCGCACGTCCAATTTTGTATAGCCGTGCCCGTAATCCTGTGTTTCCACTCAGAATACGTTACATCATACTAACCTCAGACTTGTTAATTTTAAGGAGGCTTCTCGTCCTGTTCTCGGTAGGGTCACCCTATAGGATCTTTGTAGTTCTACCCTCGGTTTCATTATTCCAAGAGGACTTATGGGTTTCTCTCACCCATAATTTGAATTCTGCCCTCGTTGAGTCAAATGGTTTGCCATTCGTCAGGTTAACTACCTCGAGGTTCCTTCTCTTCAAAGCTATTACATTCGCTCTTTCATTGCCGACTACTCCCGAGTAACCTTTACCCATATGATGTGAACCTTACCTCTGGGAGAGCATTCGGTTACAGCTTTTCTACAATCCAATACGGTTTTAGATTTTACTTTATCAGCTGATATCGCCCTAATTGCCTTCTGGCTGTTGGTAAGTATATTAAGCCTTGTGGGCACCATATTTATTCTAATCCAATTTACGCATTCCGTTATTGCTCGGACTTTTGCCTGGAAGCTAGTGTTGTGATTAGATAAACGGTGTTATATTTCTGTTTCTGGGTCTTCAATATAAAAACCCAAGCCCACTTTGTCTCCCAATTAAGAGCCATCCGTGTAGCAACGGATTCCTACTGGTATTTGCTCTAAAGTTCCGCTTGACCAAGACATTCTATCTGGGATCCGCGTTTCAAAGTTCCCGACATATTTTTTTCTCTGGTATGCGATCGGGCATGTCCGATGATTGTGTATAGCCTTCCAATGTGTCCAGTATACATTGATGACGTGTCCTATAACCGCTTTAGGCCAGTTCGCCTAAAGTTATGAGCCGTTCGGCTGTAAGTGCCGCCTCATATTTCATATATGTTTCAATGAGTGGAATATCTAGCATTGTTTCCAGAGCATTGTTTGACGTAGTGCACATGACTCCACTTATACCCAAGCAGCATGTACGCTGAACTACCTGTAGTAGTTTGATATTACTCTTTTTTTGAAAGAAGTCCACCAGATTATTGGAGCATAACTTAGAATTGGTCTAATTACACTTTTATAGAGCCAATGTGTCATAGAAGGACTAAGGCCCCATTTCATGCCTATGGTTCCTCTATATAGCGCCCAGCACCAAAGTACCTTGTTAATACTTTCCTCTATGTGTTGCCTAAATCTTAATAAACCTATATTTAGTTCTCCAGAATATTATTTCTAAAATTTCTTACAATTCTATAGAACTAACTTTTATTAATGCATATTTGTGTTCAAAATCGTACGAAAATAATTATATTTTTTTTCTGATTCACATAGAAATTTATCGAGTTTAATTTAGTATAAACAATGTTACAAGTAGTGTTTATAAACCGGTTAACCGGTTAACCGAAGAACCGGTTTTTATTGCATATTTCGGTTTTTCGCAAACCGGTTTTTTTAAAACATTGGTTTTCGGTTAACCGGGTTATCCGGTTTTTAAGTCTCGGTTAACCGATTTCAAAAAAATCTAATTTTTAGTACAAAATTGTATGTTTTCTTTGATTTTTTATTGTGATTTTTAAAAATTTTGGATAGTTGAGATTGTTAAACAAATGTTAGGAAATGTTAAACATATACTATGCATATAAAATGGAGATTTACAAATTCAGACAAAAAAATAATAAAAAATTAAGTATTTAAACAAATTCCAACCATTATATGAAGAAATTTGTTACTTATTAAGACGAATAAATAACGTTGATTATAAAATGCACTTCCTTGTTTACTGCGTGAGTATAACAAAAATCGAGAAGTTTGTCAAACGTTCTCAAAACGGATTTTATTTATCGAAACATAAGGGTAATTGTCGCTGTCCGAGAATTTATGCTGCTGGGGTTTTTCACAAACTGTAATGGCGCTTAGGTTGATTATCAGGAAGTAAGTACTGACACCTGTGTGTCATTCACAGTAATTTGAACAACCACAGGCGTAGTGAGCGGAGGGTGGTCACAATTAAAGCAGTGGCTCAATGTCTATGTCGAGACAGTCGTCGTCTACTTCCGTTCCCGATGAATCGTCTCGAGCCTGAACACTATTTATACTAGTGTTGGACATAAAATTTTTTATTGATATAGATGCATTATATATTCAAAGGTCAATTTATTCCTCCTATGGCAACTTCCATATACCTGACGAATCAATAATAACTTCAGATCTGTATAAGTTTGCTTTCTTATGATATATTAATGTACATATTTATACTAAAAAGTGCAAATATCTTATTAAGTAATTCATAATATTTCGCAAAATGAAATTTTTCAACTAAATATTATAATATTTTAAAGATTTCCAAACATTTTTGGTTAACCGGTTTAACCGGTTTTTTTGTACTCGGTTAACCGACAAACCGGTTTTTTAGAAATGGTCAATTTTCGGTTAACCGAAAAACCGGTTTTTCCAAAAGTCGGTTTTTTATAAACACTAGTTACAAGGTACTAACTAGGTCTGTATCCGACTATGTTGTACTATACACATATTAATATTTACATATGTATGTATCTATATCTCCATATTATGCAGATAATTGAAGATTAAGAAATTGTTTAGATAAGATCTTTGGAAAATAATTATATATCCAGCAAAAAAAGAACTTCGAAAGAAGCCACGGATATAATGACTTGAATAAAACTAACGTTAGAACAAACTTATAATATCTATAACTAAGTTAATTGAAGTATAGGGTAAAAAATAATATATAAAAATGATGTAAAAAAGCAAAGTATTCAACAGTATTCCAATAAGTTCTATAACGGAAAAAAGTCATTCACTCGTGATAAATATGAAACTAATTAATTTGATCTTAATAGTCGCTTGCATTGCTGCCGGTGCAATGGCTGCTCCAGGAAATGTAAGTTTAAAAATAAACAAAAGTTTTCTATTTAATATAATTTTTAAATAAATATTTAATATTTCCAGGCTAATGCTCAAGGCGTTTTTAATTCCGGCTATTTTTTTCAAGGAAGTAAAAAGTGAAACTTATTTTACTATTCATTTAAGTAGCTGATATTAATAAAGAAACACATTTAATTCAATTTATAATGTCTGAATAAATAAAGTTTTAAATCTTAAACCTGTATATTTTAAATAATTATTATTGCTTAAGACTGACATAAATTAAATTTCAAGTTCTTTTTTTGAAGTGATTACTATTAAATCAAGCAATATTCTCTGCTTAATTTTAGCAAGAGTCAGATAATATTTTTTTCCAGCGGACAGTGGTTTCGAAACATTTATTTTTGAAAATAATTTGGTATCTCTGAAACTATTGGATATAACGCAATGTTTGGAGCTGAGGTATTTAGAGATGTAGGTGATCGAGGGCGGAATGGGGGCCAGTGGGTAGCTCCTCAAAGTTGATCACCTCGGGTATTAAATTATTCAAAAAATTTGCAACAATCCATTTATGATCTGAATAAGCTGAAGTTTAAAATATAACTACTACTTGAAAAGGTCTAGGGTCTTAGGTTTAAATTTGTTTTATTCTAAAATTTTCCCGATCTATTTTTAGTTTTTTAAATATGGTGGCCCCACGGATGGTCGTAAAATTTTTTAAAAATATTCTCTAGATTTCTAACAAAAAATTTCTCAAAAGTTATTATGTCCCTATAAAAAGTAAGACTCATTCAAAGCTGCAACATGTAAAAAGTGCCGTATTTTTTAGGGTTTTTCCCAAAGAAGTCCCTGTATTCTTTCTTTTATAGAAACAAATTTTATTCGGGACTATATACGATCCAGAAAGAGAACTTATGGTAGAAGCATGTAAAATAATATTTGGCCCATTTAAGCGGACACTGACATACATTTTCTCCGCTTTAAAAATTTCGATATTTGTATGTAGAAAATGAGATAACTGCGAACAGTGTTTTCTTAGAAAGACTTGGCTCTATATATGCCCAAAATTTTGTTGAGATATCTTTATCCGTTCAAATTATACATTAACTTAAATTTTATATTTGAAATTTTAAAATATCTCTATATTATGATTTTTTCTTTACTTTTTCGTAAATAGTGTTCTAATAAAGATCCGTTATATTATATATCAATAAAAGTTTAATTCCTAAGTCATTACTTATGATTTGCAATTTCATTTATTAGTCCTGCCCCTGAAGAGGAAAATTGTCCATGGCAAGTTTAACTTTATTCCATCCAATCTAAAATCAACTAGTAATAAGTTTTAACCCAATCGGATAACTAAAAATTAGTGGAGGAATTCGATTAATTATCACAGAAATGGGTAAATCAAATCGAAAACACCTCAGATACAAAGATGTGAAATTTCATTGCGATATATCCAATAGTTTCAGAGATACCGAATTATTTCCAAAAATAAAAGTTTCTAAACCACTCTATAGTCTATAGTCTAGTCTAGTCTATGTCTAGTCTATGGTCTAGTCTATGGTTCTAGTCTATAGTCTAGTCTATAGTAGTCTATAGTCTAGTCTATAGTCTAGTCTATAGTAGTCTATAGTCTAGTCTATAGTCTAGTCTATAGTCTAGTCTATAGTCTAGTCTATAGTCTAGTCTATAGTCTAGTCTATAGTCTAGTCTATAGTCTAGTCTATAGTCTAGTCTATAGTCTAGTCTATAGTCTAGTCTATAGTCTAGTCTATAGTCTAGTCTATAGTCTAGTCTATAGTCTAGTCTAGCCATAGTCTCGTCTATAGTCTAGTCATATGCTATAGTCTAGTCTATAGTCTAGTCAGTCTAGTCTATAGTTAGTCTATAGTCTAGTCTATAGTCTCGTCTAGCCTATAGTCTAGTCTATAGTCTAGTCTAGTCTATAGTCTAGTCTAGTCTATAGTCTAGTCTAGTCTATAGTCTAGTCTAGTCTATAGTCTAGTCTATAGTCTAGTCTATAGTCTAGTCTATAGTCTAGTCTATAGTCTAGTCTATAGTCTAGTCTATAGTCTAGTCTATTAGTCTAGTCTATAGTCTAGTCTTAGTTAGTCTATAGTCTAGTCTAGTCTAGTCTATAGTCTAGTCTATAGTCTAGTCTATAGTCTAGTCTATAGTCTAGTCTATAGTCTAGTCTATAGTCTAGTCTATAGTCTAGTCTATAGTCTAGTCTATAGTCTAGTCTATAGTCTAGTCTATAGTCTAGTCTATAGTCTAGTCTATAGTCTAGTCTATAGTCTAGTCTATAGTCTAGTCTATAGTCTAGTCTATAGTCTAGTCTATAGTCTAGTCTATAGTCTAGTCTATAGTCTAGTCTATAGTCTAGTCTATAGTCTAGTCTATAGTCTAGTCTATAGTCTAGTCTATAGTCTAGTCTATAGTCTAGTCTATAGTCTAGTCTATAGTCTAGTCTATAGTCTAGTCTATAGTCTAGTCTATAGTCTAGTCTATAGTATAGTCTATAGTCTAGTCTATAGTCTAGTCTATAGTCTAGTCTATAGTCTAGTCTATAGTCTAGTCTATAGTCTAGTCTATAGTCTAGTCTATAGTCTAGTCTATAGTCTAGTCTATAGTCTAGTCTATAGTCTAGTCTAGTCTAGTCTATAGTCTAGTCATATAGTCTAGTCTATAGTCTAGTCTATAGTAGTCTATAGTCTAGTCTATAGTCTAGTCTATAGTCTAGTCTATAGTCTATCTATAGTCTAGGTCTATAGTCTAGTCTATGTCTAGTCTATAGTCTAGTCTATAGTCTAGTCTATAGTCTATAGTCTATAGTCTAGTCTATAGTCTAGTCGATAGTCTAGTCTATAGTCTAGTCCTATAGTCTAGTCTATAGTCTATCTATAGTCTAGTCTATAGTCTAGTCTATAGTCTAGTCATACTAGTCTAGTCTATAGTCTAGTCTATAGTCTAGTCTATAGTCTAGTCTATAGTCTAGTCTATAGTCTAGTCTATAGTCTAGTCTATGTCTAGTCTATAGTCTAAGTCTATAGTCTCAGTCTATAGTCTAGTCTATAGTCTAGTCTATAGTCAGTCTATAGTCTAGTCTATAGTCTAGTCTATAGTCTAGTCTATAGTCTAGTCTATAGTCTAGTCTATAGTCTAGTCTATAGTCTAGTCTATAGTCTAGTCTAATAGTCTAGTCTATAGTCTAGTCTATAGTCTAGTCTATAGTCCTAGTCTATGTCTATAGTCTAGTCTATAGTCTAGTCTATAGTCTAGTCTAAGTCTATAGTCTAGTCTATAGTCTAGTCTATAGTCTAGTCTATAGTCAAGTCTATAGTCTAGTCTATAGTCTAGTCTATAGTCTAGTCTATAGTCTAGTCTATAGTCTAGTCTATAGTCTAGTCTATAGTCTAGTCTATAGTCAAGTCTATAGTCTAGTCTATAGTCTAGTCTATAGTCTAGTCTATAGTCTAGTCTATAGTCTAGTCTATAGTCTAGTCTATAGTCTAGTCTATAGTCTAGTCTATAGTCTAGTCTATAGTCTAGTCTATAGTCTAGTCTATAGTCTAGTCTATAGTCTAGTCTATAGTCTAGTCTATAGTCTAGTCTATAGTCTAGTCTATAGTCTAGTCTATAGTCTAGTCTATAGTCTAGTCTATAGTCTAGTCTATAGTCTAGTCTATAGTCTAGTCTATAGTCTAGTCTATAGTCTAGTCTATAGTCTAGTCTATAGTCTAGTCTATAGTCTAGTCTATAGTCTAGTCTATAGTCTAGTCTATAGTCTAGTCTATAGTCTAGTCTATAGTCTAGTCTATAGTCTAGGCCTATAGTCTAGTCTATAGTCTAGTCTATAGTCCCCTAGTATATAGTCTTAGTCTAGAGTCTAGTCCTAGTCTAGTCTATGTCTAGTCTATGTCTAGTCTATAGTCTAGTCTATAGTCTAGTCTATAGTCTAGTCCTTATAGTCTAGGTCGATAGTCTAGTCTATAGTCCTAGTCTATAGTCTAGTCTATAGTCTAGTCTATAGTCTAGTCTATAGTCTAGTCTATAGTCTAGTCTATAGTCTTAGTCTATAGTCTAGTCTATAGTCTAGTCTATAGTCTAGTCTAGAGTCTAGTCTAATTCTAGTCTATAGTCTAGTCTATAGTCTAGTCTATAGTCTAGTCTGTATAGTCTAGTCTATAGTCTAGTCGATAGTCTAGTCTATCTAGTCTAGTCTATAGTCTAGTCTATAGTCTAGTCTATAGTCCTAGTCTATAGTCTAGTCTATAGTCTAGTCTATAGTCTAGTCTATAGTCAGTCTATAGTCTAGTCTATAGTCTAGTCTATAGTCTAGTCTATAGTCTAGTCTATAGTCTAGTCTATAGTCTAGTCTATAGTCTAGTCTATAGTCTAGTCTATAGTCTAGTCTATAGTCTAGTCTATAGTCTAGTCTATAGTCTAGTCTATAGTCTAGTCTATAGTCTAGTCTATAGTCTAGTCTATAGTCTAGTCTATAGTCTAGTCTATAGTCTAGTCTATAGTCTAGTCTATAGTCTAGTCTATAGTCTAGTCTATAGTCTAGTCTATAGTCTAGTCTATAGTCTAGTCTATAGTCTAGTCTATAGTCTAGTCTATAGTCTAGTCTATAGTCTAGTCTATAGTCTAGTCTATAGTCTAGTCTATAGTCTAGTCTATAGTCTAGTCTATAGTCTAGTCTATAGTCTAGTCTATAGTCTAGTCTATAGTCTAGTCTATAGTCTAGTCTATAGTCTAGTCTATAGTCTAGTCTATAGTCTAGTCTATAGTCTAGTCTATAGTCTAGTCTATAGTCTAGTCTATAGTCTAGTCTATAGTCTAGCATGTAGTCTGTTCTATATTCTAGTCTTTCCGATCGAATTTTTATTATTAGACATACCCTGCAAAAATTGAGACAACTCTGCACAAAACTGGAAAGAGTACATCTCAAAAGACTGGTCCAAAACTTGGTAAAAAGTATGTAACGATAGTATACATGTATATGGGTAATTTCGTGTGAAGTGAACCAACTTTAGTAGGCCAGACACAAACTTTCAACTCTATCAGTCAAGAACTGCTGGAGTCAGAGGGGCTCAAAGTTGGACATTTTGGTCATACTGGGTTTTATTGAAATAAGTGTAACTTTTCTTCTATTGGTCCTAGCAAAAATGTTCAGATAGCTATTTCTTCATTCTTTCCAATTTTTTTTTTTAATTTTTGAAAGTTTTTTTTTTAATTATTTTTTTTTTTTATCATTTTTTTTTTAATTTTTTCAAAATGGGCTATTTTTTTTGCTTAAAAGAAAGCTTATTCAATTTCCGTGAAGGGCTTTATAGTACCATAATGGGATGCGAGTGGAATATCTATAAAAAAAATATTTTTTAACTCAGAATAATTTTTTTTTCCAATATTTGGCACTAAATTTTCCCCTATTTTTCCAATATGTACTTTTTTTTGCTCAAAAGAAAGCTTAGACCATTGCCCTTAAGAGCTTTGTGATTACTTAGTGGGATGTGAGTGGGATATATATACATATATAAAATATTTTAACTTCAAAAGCAAAGTTTTTTAGTTAAAATATTATTTTTTTCACTATGCCCCTTGCATCCCACTAAGTGACCACAAAGCTATTAGGGGAATGGTCTAATAATTGGACGATACAACAAAAAAGTCCATTTTTAAAAAATAGGAGAAAATTAAGTGCCTAATATTGAAAAAAAATATTTTTGAGTTAAAAAATAATTTTTTTTGATAGATATTCCACTCGCATCCCATTATGGGACTATAAAGCCCTTCACGGAAATTGAATAAGCTTTCTTTAAACTCCTTTGGATAATTTTAGTTAGGACCAATAGGTGATAAGTTACACTAATTTGAATAAAATTCTGTATGACCAAAATGTCGAACTTTGACCCCCTCTGACTCCGGCAGATCTTGACCGATAGAGCTGAAAGTTTGTGTCTGGCCTACTATCCCATAGTACTAACCGTGGTGCAAATAGGAAGACATCGATTTTTAAAGTAAGGCCACTTGACACGAAATTCCCTATATACATATATACAAATGTATGTATATACCATAAAAGCATGTGATTTTCGGAATAGGGTCATTAATGTCTCCGAGTGCTACAGATTTAAAAACAGTTACTAATTTCTTACATTAATTTTTCCTCACATAAAAAGTATATATGAAAAATCGTGAATGTTTTTATGACACACCTTGTAATTCAATGGAACGTGCATATTTGTGGTTAAAATTGCATAAAAATAATTATGAATAATATGGAAATTTCCTTGTTAGTTTATTTACTATAATTAAACTATGTATAGTATGTTACAAGACAAAGTCCGCAAACCCGACTATATTATACTATACACCTAAAAATATATACATATCAATAAATATAGAAATACCTAACCTAAACTTTAAATTGCATCTCCCTATAAGGCAGATTTTCAAAACAGATTATTGTTCTACTCGGAACTACCTTTCAGAAAAATAGTATCACTTCCCTGGAGTTTAAATTTCCGTTTATTTTGTCTCACTGTGAATTTTAGATCAGAAATAAAATGTTTTTATATGATTCCGGAGAATTTTTTATGATCTAATTATTTGAATAAAACTAACGTAAGAACAAATGCATATTACCTACCACTCCATCAAGTAAGATGTAGGGTAAAAACTAATATATAAAAGTGGTGTAAAAAAGTAAAATAGTTAACAGTTTTCCAATAACTTTAATAACGGAATAAAGTCATTCGTTCGTGAAAAAAAATGAAATTTATTAATTTGTTCCTTATAGTCGCTTGCATTGTTGCCAGTGCAATGGCTACTCCAGACAATGTAAGTTTATAACTATTACATTTTAATGTAACTTTTAATTAATAATACGTATTTTCAGTTTAATGCGCAAGGTGTTTCTAACTCCGGTTATTTTTCTCAAGGTGGAAAGAAGTGATTTAATTTATTTCATTAAAATGTTATAAATAAAAGAACAAATTTTAAAAAGTTCATTCAATATAATTGTAATTGTTTCAATAAATCCTTAAATATGTATATATTAGAGGATTCGAAAGAATTGTCCTTTTTAGCCGAAACAAAAAAGTACTAACTTTCCTACATTCGATAAAATTTAGTTTACTGACGTCTATTACCTATTACACCTATTACCCACCTTTAAATCATATGTCGTAATGATAAAGTAAATACCATCAGGTTTTCCTATATATAGCTTTTGATCATTAGATTAATATGAAAGTAAGGGTGATTTTCGGAATAGGGCCTTTAATAAAGGAAGGGTTAATAAGGGTTATAATAAGGGTTAATTGCGTAGCATGCTGTCACGAATTTAAAGTCATTTTCTGAGGCGGGCCTTATATGGTAAGGTGCTCTGGGGGTGATAGATTATCGTTTCTACAAAACTTGTTTAGGTCAAATTTCATCGCTATACTGGTATTATTAAGTAAGAAAAAAGCTCTAAAATACTTTTTCTGAAGGGGTCCTTTTGTGGGAGCCATGGGCCGTTTCTCACAGAACTTAATAGAGAGATTTTAGTTAATAACAAATTGAATGTTAAAGTAATTTTCTGAATGGGCCTTACAAGGGGGTAAGGTGAACCAACTCATTTCCAATGCTTAGTCCCACAGTAACTCCTCTGTGGGATTAATGCCGAAGTGCTTTACGTGAGTACCTGCCATGTTGGCCTATCTCACGGTAGTATTTTTCAACCACTGGGTGAGCTTTGTGACGACTCACCACCGCCCCATTATGTTTGTTACATGCAGGTGGCAATATAGGTATATGGATGTTGCGGTACAATCTACGCGCACTTTGCGCAATCTCTGACCATTGCTGCCCCAATGCATAACTGACAAGATGTAAAACCACGCGGATGGGATGGCCTCTGTTGAGTCGGCAACAGCACCTAGAGACGTAACTGGTAGACCAAAGTACGAATCCATTAAATAAACCGAGACTTTGTTCTTACTCACTGTGACACACTGTGTTAATTCTGATATGAACATAGTTTACTCCGAACATATCTGGACAAGGAAGGAAAATTCAATGGTATCATTTGTATATGATACCTTTCATCCATCATCTTTCAACCCAGCACACTTCGCATTCATCCGACACACTCATAAGAGAAAAACATACGACACACTTATTCTAGGTAAACGGCTGGGTGAGGACCTCATATCCCACATACATTCTGTACCATATACAATTAACACCAACTCATTTCCAATGCTTAGTCCCACAGTCACTCCTCTGTGGCATCTCTGTTGTCTCGGCAACAGCACCGAACTTATCCCAAAATATTGACTTTACCTTACATTAGTCCTTTAACCGCCACTTACTCTCCCCGCGAATTTGGGTTTAAACCACAGCCACTACATGGTTCCCGGAGGAACCTCAACCAAGTGACCAGCCAGGACATAGTCCTGCGGGCAACTGGCCACCCGTAGTACCAGATCAAGTGGTTCTCTGGTTAGACCCCATGTCAAATCATACCAAGGACTAGCCGAGGAGTGAAGTGACATCACATCACCAGTTTATAGGCATGGTAGACTAGAGGTATTGGTAACACCTCTTTTCCCCCGGATTGCAATACATCAAGTTGCGGATCTATCATCAAGGAAACATGCCCGGGGTGGTGTTCTCTGTGGGATATCTGTTGTATCGACAACATCACCGAACTATCCCGAATTATACATTTTAACGTGCATCAGTCCTTTAACCGACATTGTCTTTCCGCGAATTTGGGTTTAAACCACAACCAACAAGAGCACCCCCAAGGGACCTTTCCAAAAACCGGGATAAGAAAAAGTCCGATTCTCTGCCCTGTTCCAGTGGTACGAGATTATGTGGTTCTCTGTTTCGACCCCATGTCACATAATTTCAAGGGAAGGCCGAGGATGCAATTAATCATTACCAGTTTATAGTCCCGGTAGAGGTACTGGTAGCACTTGTTTTCCCCGGGATGTGATCTTTCATCGAAATAACATGCCCCGGAGTCATATTAAGGTAAAAATAATAATTTTGGACAAAAAAAACATGTGAAACGTCACGCCCACTATATATACCGCCCATGTAGTCAAAACGGTTGAATACTGTTAAAAGTTTATAATTTAAAAATTAATTCAATAATAACTATTAATTTTTGTAGAAAGTATCACGCCCATAATATTAATTCCGCCCATTTTTCTATATTTTTATAACGTTTATTTAGAACTAGCTATACCCAGTGTGCTTTGCTACACTAAAAGCAATATGTATAAATAAAAAACCCACTTAACGATTTTTAAGATTATAACTACAATAGTTTTCCAGATTTATAATATGTTACATATGAGAGATGTCAAGCAAATTATTGCAAGTTCGCCAGTTTCTTTCTATCACCAATCTATCTACGAAAATTTTGAATAATATAAGAGTTTCCAAGGTAAACGAAATTATGTATTTAATTCATGTATGTTGTGCCAAGCCACCCATTGAAAGTCCGCCCGTTATGCTCTAAATGTTCACATGAATGTCAAAGTTCTTCATATAAAATTTAAAGATAAACGATATAAGAATTTTTCTATTTGATTCATGTGGGGGCTTCAAGCTCCCCAGATGAAAGTCCGCGCTTTTTCCTCCAAAATTTTCAGATGAATATTAAAGTAATTTGTGCAAAATTTTAAGAATCAAGTTCTATTAGTTTCTCAGATAAACGAAATTTTATATTTAATTCATATGGGAGGTGCCAAGTTCCCCATTGAAAGTCCGCCCGTTATACTCTAAATGTTCAGATGATGTCAAGATTCTTCAAGTAAAATTTGAAGATTCTAGTTCTAATAATTTCTCAGATATGCGAATTTTTCTATTTAATTCATATGGGGGCTTTAAGCCCCCCAGATGAAAGTCCGCTTTTTTTTCCTCCAAAATGTTCAGATGAATATTTAAGTTCTTCGTGCAAAATTTGAAGAATTTAGTTTCATTAGTTTCCCAGATAAACGAATTTTTGTATTTAATTAATATGGGAGGTGCCGCTCCCCTCATGGGTAGTCCGTCAATTTATTAACCAAAATGTTTTAAATGGATGTTAAAGTTATTCGTGCAAAATTTGATGATTCTAACTGTAATAGTTTCCAAGATAAACGAATTTTTGTATTTAATTTATGTGGGAGGTGCCACGCCCCCTAATGCTATTCCGCCTACATTTTGTCCTAAATAATCATATTGACACTAAAGTTGCTCCGACAAAATTTGAGGACTCTAACTGTTATATGATCTCAAATATACGGATTTATTAATTTCTTAATATGGGCGTAGCTACTCGCCCACCTGGAATTTCAAAATAAAAAGTAGCCTATTACCTATTCCAGACATACAGGAATACGCTGAGAAAATTTGAAGAAATTCGGTTCAGCCGTTTAGTAGTCTATAACGTTCAAACATACAAACATATAAACATACAAACATAGAAACAAACACACATTCATTTTTATATATATAGATAGATAGATAGATAGATAGATAGATAGATAGATAGATAGATAGATAGATAGATAGATAGATAGATAGATAGATAGATAGATAGATAGATAGATAGATAGATAGATAGATAGATAGATAGATAGATAGATAGATAGATAGATAGATAGATAGATAGATAGATAGATAGATAGAAGATAGATAGATAGATAGATAGATAGATAGATAGATAGATAGATAGATAGATAGATAGTAGATAGATAGATAGATAGATAGATAGATAGATAGATAGATAGATAGATAGATAGATAGATAGATAGATAGATAGATAGATAGATAGATAGATAGATAGATAGATAGATAGATAGATAGATAGATAGATAGATAGATAGATAGATAGATAGATAGATAGATAGATAGATAGATAGATAGATAGATAGTAGATAGATAGATAGATAGATAGATAGATAGATAGATAGATAGATAGATAGATAGATAGATAGATAGATAGATAGATAGATAGATAGATAGATAGATAGATAGATAGATAGATAGATAGATAGATAGATAGATAGATAGATAGATAGATAGATAGATAGATAGATAGATAGATAGATAGATAGATAGATAGATAGATAGATAGATAGATAGATAGATAGATAGATAGATAGATAGATAGATAGATAGATAGATAGATAGATAGATAGATAGATAGATAGATAGATAGATAGATAGATAGATAGATAGATAGATAGATAGATAGATAGATAGATAGATAGATAGATAGATAGATAGATAGATAGATAGATAGATAGATAGATAGATAGATAGATAGATAGATAGATAGATAGATAGATAGATAGATAGATAGATAGATAGATAGATAGATAGATAGATAGATAGATAGATAGATAGATAGATAGATAGATAGATAGATAGATAGATAGATAGATAGATAGATAGATAGATAGATAGATAGATAGATAGATAGATAGATAGATAGATAGATAGATAGATAGATAGATAGATAGATAGATAGATACAAAGCTACTATTACTCATAAAAGATCATATTATTCATAACTTAGATCTAACACAAGTGGTTGTTTAAACCACTACTATTCATTTTATGGTTCTATAATATTTACTGTTATTTTTACATATTTGTGGTCAAAATCTTAAAATCTTGGAAAAAAATAATTATATGATGTGTCAGTTTAAAAATTATATTTATATTATGAGTTTGATTAATTGTTTGTAACGCATTTAAATATTTGACTTATAACCATTTTAAAGTATACGAACGATCGTGGACGCGTCCTATTATACCTTTTTACTTTTAATTATAATTTTATAATAACAAATATACCCACCACCACAACTAGGAATGTATTGGTTAACAAAAATGGTATAAAAAGAACAAATATTGAACAGTATTTCAATAGATTTCTTAACGGAAACAAGTTATTCGGTCGTGAAAAAATATGAAACTAATTAGATCATTCCTCATAGTTGCTTGCATTGTTGCCAGTGCAATGGCCGCTCCGGATAATGTAAGTTTATATTTTTTAATTTTTAATATGTATATTTTCTAATTAAATATTTGTATCTTTTAATATTATTTTCAGTATAACGCCCAAAACGTTGTTAACACTGGTCATTTCAATCAAGGAGGAAAATAATTCAAATTTTTACGTTAATAGAAAAAAATGTTTGTCGAGTAAATAAAATGATTTATTACTAAACATACATACAACTATACAATTTATTTATCTCTATGGTGGTTAAAAAATTGGGGGGTAAATGTTGGGGGCTCCAAGCCAGATGAAAGTTCGCCCTGTTTTCTACAAAATGTTCAGATGAATATTAAAGTTCATTGTGCAAAATTTGAAGAATTTAGTCCTATTAGTTTTCCAGATAAACCAATTTTTGTAATTAATTCATGTGGGAGGTGTCGCTTCCCTCAATGGTAGTCCAACAATTTATTACCCAAAATGTTTACATGGATGTTAAAGTTCGTGCAAAATTTCAAGATTCTAACTGTAATAGTTTCCACGATAAACGAATTTTTGTGTTTAATTTATATGAGAGGTGCCACATCCCCTGCTGCTAGTCCGCCTACTTACTGTTATATTATCTCAGATATAACTATTTAATATTTTCTTAATACGGGAGTAGCTCCTCCTAAAAAGTAGCCTATAACCTCTTCCAGACATACATACATTTCATGAAAATCGGTTTAGCCGTCTATAAACATCAAATATATAAACACACAATCATTTTGATACCCACTATCAAAAAACACACACATCGAAATATTTGCCTAAGGCCCAGAAAAGTATATATACACATTGTGGGTCCTTATTAGATTCTGAGGCGATCTAGTCATGTCTGTCCATCTGTCTGTTGAAATCATGATAGGGACCACACGGGAGGAGCTAGACAGCTGAAATTTTCCATAAACATTCTCTATTGATAAGGTTTGTTTGGTATTGAAAATAGAAAAAAATCGGTCCACGTTTTCGCATATCCCCCATACAAGTGGCCCCCCGGAAAACAGTTTTAACAGTCAGTGGTTTAAAAATACCAGTATAACGATGAAATTCTACATAAATAAGTGTTATGTGAACGTAAATCTCTTAACCAAATTTTATGCGGATCGCTTAATAATTGACCCTATACCCCATATAAGGTCACCTTCAGAAAATGTCTTTAACGTTCATTACTCATATAAGGTCCCCTTCAGAAACTGTAGAAATGAGACTACAGCGATGAAATTCGGCATAAACAAGTTTTGTATGAGCCAAAATCTCTCTACTAACTTCAGTAAGGATCGGTCCAAAATTGACCCCACTCCCCATATTAGGTCCCCATTAGGCTTTCAAACACCCCCCCCCCCTCGGGGCATGTTCCTTAATGAAAAACCCTCATCTTGGTGTATTCCAATCCTGGGGTTAAGAGGTGCTACCAGTACCTGCCTGGACTATAAACTGGTGATTTCATTTCACTCCTCGGCTAGTCCTTCGAATGATTTGACATGGGGTCGAACCAGAGAACCTCATAATCTGGTACTACGGTGCTGTTGCCGACTCAACAGAGGCCACCACATCTGTGTGGTTGTAAACGAAAGTCATGTTTTTGCATCTCCGAAGTTAAGCAACGGGGTCAAAGATTAGATAGATCAAGTACTTAAGCAAAGTGCACGTATACTGGACCGGAAATTCCATATAAGCTCACCCAGTGGTTGAAAAAGACCACCGTGAAATAGACCAACACGACAGGTCTTCACGTAAAGTACTTCGACATTAATAGGCTCCCTCCCAAGATTGTATTGTAGGTCACAGACAATTTGCCGCCTTTACTCTGGGCAAGCACTACCAAGCCTAACCGAGAATGAAGTTAGTAATACTACGAATTTCATCCATATATCGTTGTTAGTGCGCGAGTTAAATATTTACGATTAAATAATTTTCGGAAGTGGACTTTACACTATTACGGATTATGGTCTGACCAGGAAAAACAATTATTTATTTGGGTACAAAAATGGGCCGATTTTGCTGATATAAAATAGAAAACTTCTCGAAAGCATGTCTGATAGCATTATTAAAGATTAAGATTTCACAAATATCTGGGCTCTTCTGAAAATATGTATATGCGAACAAATCGGAATATTTATTTGACCTTGGTCCCCATTTACCAAGTTTCTTGAGTCATATCCCATTTTACAGTAAATCAGATTATTTTAAATTAATTATTCGAAGATTGCCATGTATTTCGAAATTAACCTAAAATTGCAGATCATATTTCGATGACGGCTATATAAAATTCGACTTAGCTGAATATTTTTATGATTAAAAAATTATGTTTTTTTTATAAATTAAATACAAATTATAAATTTATTTATATTTTTAATATAAACGTATTAATTAATATAAATTATTTTCCTCCTTGATTCCAATAACCGGAATTAACAACACCTTGGGCATTAAACTGAAAGTAATTAATAGTAATTTATATAATAATTCAAAAAAAAACTTAGTAAAAGAGACTTACATTGTCTGGATCTGCCATTGCAGCGGCAACAATACATGCGACCACAAGGAATAATGTAATTATTTTCATTTTTCCGCCAACAAATTACTCCTTTCCGATATAAAATATATAGAAATACTGTTAAATATTTTTCTACTTTACACCTTTTTATATCATTTTTATTGCGAGATTTTTGTTCACGCTACATCTTGTGAGATACAGTGGGTATAATGCCTTCATATTATATAATAAATATATATACTAGAAATAATAGTATTATACAGATTTTTTGGATTTATCAGATACAAACTTATATTTCTTAAGTCCATTATCACTTACATACCCAGCAAAAACATAATAATAACTTGTACTTACTCAACAACTTAATTTTCAATGACTACAACATACCGTCTGCATTGCTTAGAAGAAATCTAGTAATGACTTACAAATAATATATTATGTAAGTACGTACTTTTTAGGCTTGACATATCGTTTTCGAAATTAGTTTTTTCTCATAATCTGGGCCCTTGAATGTGTTTTTTTTTGTGTATATTATTTTAAAGTCGGATTTGTAGGACTACAATATTTGCATCGCTTATTATAAATATAAATAATAAGAAAATTTCCCCATGTATTATAAATAAAATGGATAAATTTTAAATACATATTTTTCTACACGTGATTTTGACCACAATTATGCATGAATATCAATTAGTTTTATAGAATAATATTAAAAAAAGATTTCAAGTAGAGTTAAATATACACATTTACTTGGAAACCCAGAAATATGCAATTAAAAGTTTCCTTTTGTAGTTTATAAGGGCATTTGTATGCATTTAATAGTTTAATTGCCGAAAAATTACAAGTGCCCTAGTTGAATCGCTCAAGGACAGTTGTACTCTGCTGGAATTGAGATCTGCCCAGGTGAAACCTTGGGTGACAGGGGAGATACGGAACTTTGGGAAAAATCTTTGCAAACTATTTGCAAAACAGACGTTCAACCGGTATCTATGATCGATAAAGTATATGCAGCATGCTTATGTAGAGTCGATCAATAAAAACCGAATTGAATGAAGATGTCCACTATATACACTGAAGAAGATATGCCGTGATATGGAAGGTGAATAAATAATGTGCACACTGCTACACTTATCCAATCCTTAGACCAGATTTTTATCGACAGTGTGCATCGTAACTGGATCAACCATATGCTAAGGAACAGATGGATAAGCTGCGACCCTATCCAAGTAAGGACTTAGACCTGTATGCTATTCAAACGATGTCGTAATAATAAACACAAAATATAACGGGAACTGATAGAACATCATGGTCAAGCGCACTATTAGAGCAAATATTCATAGAAATCGGTTACTACACGAATGGCTCTAAACTGGGAGATAAAATGAGCCTGACTATCTATCTTAAATACCTAGAAACAGAAATATACAACATTTTACCTAATCACCAGGCAGAAGTCCGAGAAATTACGGAATGTGTAAATTGGATTAATATATATATGGCGCCAATAGGGGTTAACATATTTACCGACAACCAGAAGGTAATTAGAGCGATATCAGGTGATAGTGTTAAATTTATGATCGTATTGCATTGTAAGGGTGCTTTTACCGAATACTCTTTTAGAGGTAAGCTTTACTTCATATGTGTACCAAGTCACTCGGGAATAGTTGGCAACGAAAGAACGAAAAGCGGGAGTTAATTTAATGAACGCACAATCACTCAACTCATCGAGGGCTGTGCAAGTCTGCGGTTAGTATAATGGTACGCATTCTGAGTGAACACACATGATTACAGCACAGCTATACAAAATTGGACCAGCTTATTCAGACGAATTTAGGGTATGTAGAGAAGAGAGTGGGACTCTGCAGAACTTTCTTTATCATTGTCAGACTTTCACGGAAATTAAGCGGGATTAGAAGCCTCCTCAAAATTACTAAATCTCAGGTTAGAAAGATAATACGTATCGGACGAGCGAATTCAGACGAATGTAGAGCTAATAGAGAGGATAGTGAACTCTGAAGAACTTTCTTTGTCATTGTCAGGCTTTTGTCAAAATAAGATATAAATATCTAAGGAACGATATAACATTCCTAACGAACAATTATTTGAAAATTCCTAGGAATTACGTTAAGGAAACTACAGTAATAACTTCACTGATTTCTATGTATATCAGGTTTTTCTCTTTTTTAGGCCTGACAGTCGCCTAAGCGTATTTCATCCTCCTATCAATCTAACTAACCTATGTATATTATTTCGACATACATATAAGACTCTTTCAAAAAGTAATTTAATGAACTTTTAAATAAATAAGCATTAAATTAAATTCTTTAAAATTTGGTTCTTAGCTGATCTGAGCAACAGAACTAGAGTGGAACTAGAACAGAACTAGAACAGAACTAGAACAGAACTAGAACAGAACTAGAACAGAACTAGAACAGAACTAGAACAGAACTAGAACAGAACTAGAACAGAACTAGAACAGAACTAGAACAGAACTAGAACAGAACAGAACTAGAACAGAACAGAACAGAACTAGAACAGAACTAGAACAGAATTAGAACAGAACTAGAACAGAACTAGAACAGAACTAGAACAGAACTAGAACAGAACTAGAACAGAACTAGAACAGAACTAGAACAGAACTAGAACAGAACTAGAACAGAACTAGAACAGAACTAGAACAGAACTAGAACAGAACTAGAACAGAAATAAATAGAATAGCGGTAACATTACTGATTAACTTCGATCGGTTTCTAACATCTGACAGTTTTTGTTTTTATTGCATTCTTTAAAATGTAACAAAATGTATACTTAAAAATTTTAAGTTAAAATCAATTTAATAATTCCAGAAAATTTCCTTCGTATCAATATACAATTTGTTTGCGCCTTTCATTGATCAATAACATCGTGGTTAACAATGTTCTGTATGACATTCTGAAAATATTATATATCAATTGAGAGCTAATTTATGAAGTAACAAATACAACTTACAGCTCTTCCATTTGTATTTTTTCTTTGATTAATATAATTAGTGTTAACAACGTTACTTATTATCTGAAAATATTGGCGATATTAAGAGAAATCTGCATTAAAAGCTTATATAAAACTTACACTATTTCCATTCGTTTTTCTTTGGTTAATATAGCCAGTATTATCAACGTTAGCTATAACCTAAAAATATGCAAAATTAACTAAAAGGTAAGTTATTAGGTAAATAGAAAAACTTACACTATTTCCATTCCATCCTCTTTGGTTATTATTTATTAACTGAAAATATTCAATATTAATTTGAAGTTAAATTTTTGATATGAAAATGTAAAACTTACACTATTTCCATTCGAACCTCCTTGATGAATATAACCGTTGTTAGAAACGTTATGTATTACCTGTAATTTTATTTGGAAGGTAAATTAATCAAATAAATCAAAATTAAAAAAGCTTACATTATTTCCATTCGTCTTTTCTTGCCTAATGGTACCAGAGTTAAAAACGCCAACTGCTGAATACTGGATAAAACATTCATTAATCGAAAGCTAAATTACGTCACAACGAATAGAAACTTACATTTTCTGGAAAAGCCTTGACGCCGGCAAAAATAATGCAGGTCAAAGATATCAAAGATATTTGCAATAGTTTCATATTTTTTTCTACTTTCCGTTACAAATTTATTGAAATACTCTGCAAGTTTTTACTTTTTATACTGTTTTGTATATTGAGATTTAATGAAAAGAGTGTATTTATAATTATAAATAAACAATTATTTTTCAAACGATTTGTTTTATAAACCACATTTAAAGTAAGACCCCCGATGCAAAATTGTAAAATCCATTCGTTTCGGCATACTTCTCATTTATACGACACATTCAAGAGAAATCATTCGACAAATTCATACGATTATATAGCTAGGTCAATATACCCCTGATTAATTCCGTATCTTATTAATTTAAAACCAACACATTCCCAGCTTTAGTCCCACAATCACTCCTCCGAAGCGCCGAACAGAATATATATTTCATCCTGTATCAGTCTTTTAAACAGAATTCTCTTCCTGAGAGATAGGTTTTAAGCCACAGCCAGAATGTGAACCCCAAAGGGACCTCTAAAATAACCAGGACAAGCTTCTGATTCTCACAGTACCAGATTATATGGATTTCTGGTTCTAACCCAGGCCAAATCATTCCAAGGAAAGACCGAGAATACATTTGACAACACCAATTTATAGAGATACTGGTCTCTCCTCTGTTCCCCTGGATTGCCTTAATTGAATCATTTGAAGACATTTATCCTTAATGTCATCCGCTTCCCCGCTACCATGTTTTGTTGGTCGGAACACCATTAGCTTTGCATTCCTAACTCTAAAGAACAGCCCGCTTTATTGAGCTCAATGGAGTTCGAATCCATGATGGCGAGGTCATGTATGACCGTCGTCCTCTTCAGACCGGACGACGTCCCCTTTTTATGTTGGGGTATTGAAGCTTTAAGCACTCCAACATCTTTTGTGCATCGGTAGTCAGCATTGGTAAACAGATACGAGCACTAAGACTCATCGGAATTTCCTCTACGAAATTTTCTCAATTATAAGCTTAACCCACTTTAAGAGTAACTTTTATTAGCTATGCATTTTCTGAGTTCATGTGTATTTGATTATCCTGTATCCCCTCCCCTCGGTAGTATGTTACCTTCAAAAATGTTCCCCTATCTTGGTGTTATTGCAATCCCGAGAAAAAGATTAGCTACTAGTAGCTCTACCGGGACTGAAAACTGGTGATGATCAAATACATCCTCGGCCATTCTTTAGAATGATTTGACATGGGGTCGAACCAGAGAAACCAGGCTTTATCTCGTCCCGGTTATTGGACCGGTGTTTGCTGTGGTTTAAATCCAAATTTGCAAGAAGAGAATGTTAGTTAAAGGGCTCATGCGCGGTAAAGGCTATAATTCTGGTGCTGCTGCCGATGCAACAGATACCTCGCAGCGGAATGACTGTGGGGCTAAGCGTTGAAAATGAGTTGGTGTTGGTTGGTATATGATACAGGATGAATGTAGAGTGAGTGTGTCGGATGTTTTCCTGGGTTGAATGGTCATGGATGTAAGGTATGTTATACAAGTGATATCATTTAATTTTCCTTCCATGTCCGGATATGTTCAGAGTTTACTCTGTTCATAACTGTTCTCTGTGAGTAAGAACAAGTATTCGTGTTTCGGTCTACCGATTACGTCTCTAGTTGCTGTTGCCGACTTAACAGAGGGCATTCCATCTGCGTGGTTGTAAACTAAAGTGATGCTTTCGCATCTCGGAAGTAAAGCAACGACGGCCGTAAAGTTATGCCTTTATGGCAGGTGTTCGCGTAAAGCGCTCCGACATTCTGTATACTCGGTGAATCTTAGTCTGAGAGTGGTTTCGCTTGGACCCCATGTTTTTTAGAGCTTCTACTTTGCATGTACTGGGTACGGTTTCCAACGAGTTTTGGTACTTGTCTACCACATATTGACTGAGAAACTTTTCCATTCCTGCTCGCTCTCACTTATAAGCCAACCAATGTCTCTTGACTCAAAACCGGGGCGTCGTCGAATGAGGATACGATCTCTTTTTGATGCTTTTGTTGCTGGTTTTCCATAATCATGCCCGTAATAAGAAGGTGAAAAACCTTTGGTCATAAAACATGGGTGGGTTGCAAAATCAAATACTGGCCATACTTGCAAATACTTCCCAGAAGACAACCCGAGTTTTAGTGTGATGTCTGGAGGGAAGCACTGGTTTACGGACACAATTATTCGAAGTTGGACAAACAGTTTTCTTTCAAACCAATTGATTTCGTTGAAATTAGAACTAAATATCTTGGGAGGCGAGGCAGCAAGACCACTGATTAGAAAATTCTTAGGAATTACATATATGAATCTAAATTTCTCAACATCGATCGATAATTCCTTTCATAAATCACTATAAAAGGATTTTACAATATAGTTTTTCTATGTGCGAGCACAATATAACCGATATTGTCCTATGTATATTTCGAATATAATTAAATACGTTTAACCTAACATAATCCCACTATTGGCCCTTCGATAAAAGTACATATAAAAAATTGGATTAAATATATTTCAATCTTTATTAGTGTCATAAATGTGAATGCAATAATTTTTATTATTTTCCAACTCCTCCTTGATTAAAGAATCCCGTGTTAAGAACGCCTTGAGCATTATACTGAAAATATTTTATATTTAAAAATATGAAGTGTATTTAGAAAATGCTTTAGGAAAAAAATTATTATAAACTTACATTTGACGGAGTAGCCATAGCACTGGCAACAATACAAGCGACTACAAGGAATAAATTAATTAGTTTCATATTTTCCACAATCAAATAACTCTTTTCCGCTATGAAGCTTATTGGAACTGTTGTATAATTTTCAAGTTCATAACCTTTTTATATGTTTTGTAATGAAACTTTTTTTATGGATTCGGAAATTTAACATGATTCATGAAAAAAAATTGTTTTTATTTAAAACATTTTTATATAAATTAACCACAAATAACTGTTAAGTTTTATTCAATTATATATATGACTAATAATTCGTATTAAATATTCTAAAATTATAGATTGCAAATAACAAAAGTTTACAAATTAATATTTTTGGTTTGTCTATGGAATGAAACATATATTTTTGGAACGGGCTAACAATTTTTTTTTCCTCAGAAAAAAAATCAATAATATAAATTTTAGTACTTCCTTAACCCACTTTTTACCAGATTTCTTTCTTTTTGGTCCGATTTTTAGCCAGCTTTTGGATACATTTTTATTAAAATTTAAAAAAAAAACAAGTTAGAGTGCTATATTTGGCTGAGCCGAATCTTAAATAGCCTCCACCAGCTACTTTTATATTAATACTTTTTTAATTGATCAAATATTTGTAGAAATAAGTTTTCTCATGTCTTAAATAGAAAAAGCCCAAGATTTAAACAGCTTAAATCTGTTACAATTCCAAGATTTATTGAACAAACCCCATTTTCTTTTATACATATTTTTATAGCGCCCTATGATATGCTTTAACGATATTTGTGTGAAAGATTTAAGGATTTTCAAAATACATATGTATATATAATTTTGTTCTACACAAATTGATAATGCAACTATTTAAATACGGTTAAAGTGCTTTTAGGGGCAGGACCTAGTATGGGAGATATGACCAATTATAGACCGATCGTAAAAAATTCTTTAAGCAAAATTTCTGTACATAAAAGCTATATTTCGGTCAAATTTTGTATCTATATCGTAATTTTGTAATAAGTAATGTGTGTTCAAGTGATCATCGGAGGGAACCTTGCATGGGACAGACCGCACCCATGTTATGGACCGATCGTGAAAAAATCTTAAAATAGAATTTTTGTATACCAAACTAACTAATATTTGTGCCAAATTTTGTATCAATAGCTTTATTTGGTAATGAGTAATGTGCGTTTAAGAGATTTTCTAAAAGGACCTTGTATGGGAGCTATGACCAATTATGTATATAAAGACAAAATTTCAAAATTCTGTATCTATATCGTTATTTGGTAATGAATATTGTGCATTTAAGTGATTTTCTGGAAGGGACCTAGTATGAAAGCTAAGACCAAATATGGACCGATCGTAAAACAATTTTATAGTGTTATTTATGTATATAAAAGCAATATTTTTGCTAAATGTATGGATATCAATACTTTGTAATGAGTTATGAGCCTTTAAGTGATTTTCGGGAGGGAACCTTGTATGGGAGCTATGACCAAAGATGAACCGATCGTGAAAAAAATTTTGAAATAACATTTCTGTGTACAAAAATAGTATGTAATGAGTTATGTGCCTTTAAGTGTTTTTCTGAAATGGACCTTGCATGGGAGCTATGATCAATTATGGGCCGATAGGAAAACAATTTCATAGTAATATTTCTGTGTATATTAGCAATACTTGTGTCAAACTTCATATGGATATTTTAATTTAGTAATGAGTTATGCGCGTTTAAGTGATTTTCGGGAGGGGACCTTGTATAGGAGGTATGACCAATTATGGACCGATCCGAAAAAACTTTCATAGTAATATTTCTGTGCATATGAGCAATACTTATTCCAAATTTTATATGGATATCTTAATTTAGTAATGAGTTATGCGCGTTTAAGTGATTTTCGGGAGGGGACCTTGTATGGGAGCTATGTCAAATTATGGACCGATCCAGAAAATTTTTTCTCTCAATGAATTCTATTTACATAAGATTTTAATTTGTAAAATTTTGTGAAGATATCTACATTATGACGGAAGTTATTAACAAAAAACTCATTTTCGGTGAATATGTACTTTTGTATGGGAGGTATATGAAATTATAGACCGATTCTGGCAATTTTCAGCAGGAATCAAGATCTTGTGTAGGAACGAACTTATGATGACTTTCATGAAATTATCTTGCATTACATCAGAATGTGTAAAAAATGCTTATTTTTTTCGGAGTTGTTTTAAATTTTGATTCATAACTTTTCCCTATGTGAACTGATTTTGCTCATTTTCAATACCAAACTGTACCAGATAATAATGCATATTTTGGCTGAATTTCTTTAATTTCCATTTCTTCGTTTTAACGTGAGCGTGTTTGTTGGGTCTCAATGTCCTTGTATCTTGGAACCCAAATCAATTTGATAGAGTACCTTCAAGGTTGTACAGAGCAAGCGGAATATTAATATCCTTTTGCATCTATGCAATTGAAAGAAAATTTCAGAATTTTCGAAAACAACAAGATGATCATGCTTACCACGTGCAAGATCGTCATCTACAGTCCGCAGTATCTTCTACTCCAACAGTAGCCATATGTTCGTAGAAATTTGAACCTGACATTGTCAATATAGTCAACGAATACGGTAAAGCCGTTTGTAGCTCACTTGCTGAGGACAAGTCGGTTGGATCAGTCGCTTACCCTCAGGAACTTGTGTCTCACTTGATCATTGCCGCTAGATAGGGTTGCAGGAGCTGATAAATGCAAAACCATTCAACGCAACGAAGGCTAAAAAGAAAATCCCATAATGCCACTTGGAATTGAAAAGGAAGAGAAGCCTCCCTAAAATGAGTAAGTCTGAGGTTAGTATATTGGTAAGTATTCTGAGTGGAGACACAGGATTACAGGCACAGGTTAAGTTCCGTTTACCCTGCATTCATTCATTTGTATCATATACACTTAACACCATTTCCAAAGCTTAGTCCCACAATTACTCCTTTGTGGGGTATCTATTGTCTCAGCAACAGCACCAAACTTATCCAGTATTATAGACTTTACTGTCCATCAGACTTTTTACCGACATTCTCTTCCCGTAAATTTGGTTTTAAACCACAGACACCACGTGCAACCCGAAGGGACCTCTCCATAAACCGGGACAAGATATAGTCCTAAACTCTGCTCTTGGTGTCAGATTATATGGTTTTCTGGTTCAACCCCATGTTAAATCATTGCAAGGAAAGGCCGAGGATATATTTCATCGTCACCAGTTTATAGACCCGGTAGAGGTACTGGTAGCACCTCTTTTCCCCGGAATTGCAATAACACCAGGAATTAGGATCTTAAATTAAGGTATCATGCCCCCGAAAGGAAACTGACAATAATACCATCATTGATCACTATTTAAGGTTTTTGTTATATAACAACAAACAATTCTATGGAACGCTTACAGGCGCCATTGTCGCCTAGGTGTATCTAATGGGATTTCAAATAGTAAACATCCTCCGAGCAAACTAACCTAACTAACCTACATATATAAAGTTTCGTTCATAACTGGTCTGAGCAACGACATTAGATATCGGTATCATTAATCACACTAATAACTTCTAAAGGCTCTATATTGCGCCTTTGAGATATGTATAGCTTATGTATGATCAACTTCGATCGGTTTACAACTTCTTGTAGTTTTAGTTTTTATTGGACTTTTTAAAATGTAACAACTTTTGTACTTAAAATTAATACAATAATTCCAATTTTCCTTTACATTCATGTACAATTTATTTGCGCATTTCATTGATCAATAACATCGTATTTAACTATGTTCTGTATTATATTCTGAAAATATTATATATCAATTGAAAGCTAATTTATAAAGTATAACATAATTGATAAGTATAATATAATTGATGTTAACAACGTTATGTATTATCTGAAAAGATTTGCAATATTAAGATAAAACTTCATAAATAAAACCATATAAAGAACTTACACTATTTCCATGCGATTTTCTTTGGTTAATAAAGCCGATATTATCAACGTTAGATATAACCTAAAAATATGCAAAATTAACTACAAGGTAAATTATTAGGTAAATAGAAAAACTTACACCATTTCTTTGGTTAATATAATCGGTGTTAGCAACATTATTTATTAACTGAAAATATTCAATATCAATTTGAAGTTAAATTTTTAAAATGAAAAGATAAAACTTACACTATTTCCATTCAAACCTTTTTGATGAATATAACCACTATTAGCAACATTATGTATTACCTGAAAATTTTTGATTTTTTTTTGACTGTCAAATAATAAATCAACATTAAAAAAGCTTACACTATTTCCATTCGTCTTATCTTGCCTAATAGTACCAGAGTTAAAAACGCCAACTGCTGAATACTGGATAAAACATTAATTAATCGAAAGCTAAATTATGTCACAACGAATAGAAACTTACATTTTCTGGAAAAGCCTTGACGCCGGCAAAAATAATGCAGGTCAAAGATATCAAAGATATTTGCAATAGTTTCATATTTCTTTTTCTATATTCCGCTACAAATTTATCGAAATACTCTGCAAGTTTTTACTTTTTATACTGTTTTGTATATTTGTATATTTTAATAAAAACGTGAGTGTATTTATGATTATAAATAAAAGTGATTTTTCAAACGATTTGATTTATAAACCACATTTAAAGTCGAAAATCGATTCGACGCAGCACACTTCACATTTATACGACACATTCAAGAAAAATCATTCGACAAATTCATACGTCTATATGGCTAGATCCATATACACCTGATTCATTCTGCCTATTAATTTAACACCAATACATTCTAAGCTTTAGTCCCACAGTTACTCCTCTGTGGGGTATCTGTTGTCTTTTCCGGCAACAGCACCGAACTTATACAGAAATATAGATTTCATGGTGTATAAGTCTTTTAACCATTATTCTCTTCCGGCAAGTTAGGGTTTAAACCACAGCCAGAACGTGCACCCCGAAGGGACCATTACAATAAACAGGACAAGCCAAAGTTCGAAACTCTGTCCTTCATGCTTCTGATTCTCATAGTACCCAGGTCAAATCATTCCATGGAAAGGCCGAGGATATATATGACACCAATTTATAGAGGTACTGGTCACTCCTCTGTTCCCCTGGATTGCCTTAATTGAATCATTAGAGAACATTTGTCCATCATGTCATCAACAACATTACCCTTGCGTTCCTAACCCCAAAGAACAGCAAATTTTATTGAGCTCAATGGAGTCCGAATCCACGATAGGGAGGTCATGTATGATCTGCGTTTTATTCAGACCGGATGACGTCCACGTTTATGTTGGGGTTTTGAAGCTTCAAGCACTCCAACATCTTTTGTGCTTCGGTAGTCAGCATTGATAACCAGATACGAGCATTAAGTCTCATTGGAATTTCCTCAGCGAAATTTCCTCAGTTATAAGCTTAAACCACTTTAATCGTCACTTTTATTAGCTTTACATTTTCTGAGTCCATGTGCATTTGATTATCCTCAATTCCCTCTCCTCGGTAGTATGTTACCTTGAAAAATCTTAACCTTTCTTGTGTTATGGCTATCACGAGGAAAAGAAGTCCTACCAATAACTCTAATCTGCCGGGACTGAAAACTTGTGATGATCAAATGTATCCTCGACCAAATCTGATACTACGGGACCCGGTATTCCACAGGTCAGAGTTTCGGACTTTATCTTGTCTCAGTTATTGGAGAGGTCCCTTCGAGGCGCACATAGTGGCTGTGGTTTAAACCCAAATTTGCGGGAAGATAACGTTGGTTAAAGGACTGATGCACAGTAAATTTTAATATTCTGGATAAGTTTGGCGCTGTTGTCGAGACTACAGTTACCCCAGAAAGGAGTGACTGTGGGACTAAGCTAAGTTGGAAATGAGTTGTTGTTAAGTGTATATGATACGGGATGAATGTGGGACCTCACCAATCCGTATACCTAGAGTGAGTGTATCTGATGTTTTTCTCAATGAGTGAGTCAGATTATGAACGAGAAGTATGCTGGGTTGAATGGTGATGGATGTAAGGTATATTATACAAGTGATACTATTGAATTTTCCTTCCTTGTCCGAGTATGTTCAGGGTTAACTCTGTTCATGCCAGATTTACCACAATGTGTTTTCTGTGAGTAAGAACAAGTCCCCGTCTTATTTCGTGTTACGGTCTACCGATTACGTATTTAGTTGCTGTTGCCGACTCAACAGAGGCCATCCCATCTGTTTGGTTGTAAACAGAAGTGATATGTTTGCATCTCGGAAGTTAAGCAACGGACCAACTCGAGGAAAATGCTTCTACATGGACCGGCAGAACCGTATACAAAATGGAGCGGTAATGAGTCGTCAAAAAAGCTCACCGTGTAGATGAAAAAGACCACAGTAAAGTTATGCCTTTAAGGCAGGTGTTCACGTAAAGCACTCCGACATTCAGTATACCCGGTGAATCTTAGTCTGAGAGTGGTTTCGCTTGGATCCTTTGTTTTTTACAGCTTCCATATTGGATGTGCTGGGTACGGTTTCCAATAACTTTTGGTACATGTTTATCAAATATTGACTTAGAGAACTTTTCCTTTCCTGCTCGTCAACCAATGTCCCTTGAGGATACGATCTCATTCTCATTTTGATGCTTTCGTTATTAGTTTTCCATAATCATGCACGTAATGAGAAGGTAGACAACCTTTAGTCATGAAACATGGGTGGCAAAATCAAATACTGCTCATACTTGCAAAGACTTCCCAGAAGTAAGTTTCGAGGTTAGTATGATTTCTGCATGGAAGCACTGATATACGGACACAACTAATCGAAGTTGGACAAACAGTTTTCTTTCAAACCAATTGATTTCGTTGAAATTAGAACTAAATATTTTGGGAGGTGAGGCAGCAAGACCACTGATTAGAAAATTCTTAGGAATTACATATATGAATCTAAATTTCTCAACATCGATCGATAATTCTTTTCATAAATCACTGTAAAAGGATTTTACAATATAGTTTTTCTATGTGCGAACACAATATAACCGATATTATCCTATGTATATTTCGAATATCATTAAATACTTTTAACCTAACATAATCCCACTATTAACCCTTCGATAAAAGTACAAATAAAAAAATTGGATGAAATATATTTTAATCTTTATTAGTGTCACAAATGTGAAGGTAATAATTTTTATTATTTTCCTACATGTACTTGACTAAAGATTCCCGAATTAATAACGCCATGAGCATTATTCTGAAAATATTTAATATTAAAAAATAATAAAAAATTATGTATTTAGAAAATGCTTTAAAAAAGAAATTATTATAAACTTACATTTGAGGGAAAAGCCATAGCACTAGCAACAATGCAAGCGACTACAAGGAATAAATTCATTAGTTTCATATTTATCACGATCGAATGAATAACTCTTTTTCGCTAGGAAGCTTATTGGAACTGTTGTATATTTTTCAAATTCATATCCTTTTTATATGTTTTTTTTTTTTATGCGAGTTTTTTTATGGATTCGGAAATTTAACATGATTCATAAATAAAACGTTTTTTTTTTATTTAATATATTTTTATACGATTTAACCACAAATAAATGTATAGTTTTATCAAAGACTATGGTTTTATATAATCTATATATATAAAAGAGTAGCGTTACTGACGGACTGATTCATCATCGCACAGCCCAAACGGCTGAACCTAGAATCATGAAATTTTGACAATAGATGTGTTTTTGGTTATGTAGGTCCACTAAGGAGTGATATTTGGAAATTTGTACATTTACGGGTAAAAAGGGGAAAAAACGGGTAAAACAGGTTTTCTTAATTATCTTACACAATATTAGTGATACATGAAAAATTTTAAATGCACCTTTATCTACTCTTAAAATGAGCAGATGGGTGTCTGGTACTTTTTTGAAATTCGTACTTTTAAGGGGAAAAAATGTGTAACAAAGGTGATTTTGGTACCTTTTTTGGCCCTTTATAAGTTTTGAACTAATTAACATAATAAAATGTTTATAAATATTTTGGATACATCTCCCAAAATTATGAGACACCTGTTTCGTACTTTTTTAAAATTCACTCCTTTTTGGGTGTATAAGGGAGAAAACTGTATTTATGGTATTTTTTTTTTTTAGCTCATTAAGAAAACTTTTTCGGTTTATTGAATTATTCCTATTAAATTACGGACTAACTCTGTAATATTTATTGTAATCAAATTTTTTCTATTTCACTGGGGAAAAAAGTACTAAAAAAGGAAAAATACGCGAAATTTAATTTTATTCAAACTCATTGAACCAATTTTTATAAAATATGAAAAAGTAGTTTATTTACTCACACAAAATAAGCTGTTGGAATTCGAGTACTATGGCCTATATAGGACCAAATTCGATTAAATTGTTTGGTACTTTTTGAAAGCACTATTTTTCTGGAACAAATCAATGCAGATTTGAATCGTTTGAGTTTTATCTGTTATATATAGATATAAATACGGAACATTTTGTAAACTTACTTCTCGAAAAAGTATATTTCTAAGCGAAAAAGTGAAAAATTGTACTATTTTTATTAGTACTTTCCACATAGGTAAAATTTATTTCACTTTTGGTACTTTTTCTTTCTTCAAATGATACTCTTTGTATGTTATGAATAATATGAAACCAAACCCAAATGATAATTAATAAGATTCTTTAAGAGGGAACTTTTTAGTACTTTTTATCTCATAAATGGTACTTTTTTAATTTTCTAAAATAGTCAACCTAGGAACAATAATTTTAACATACATGGTCTTGACTGAATAATATTCTGTAAGTGGGATCTATTTGGTACTTTTCTATTCTTCAAATGGAACTTTTTAGTACTTTTTATCTCATAAATGGTACTTTTTTAATTTTTTAAAATAGTCAACCTATGAACTCTAATTTTAACATACATGGTATTGACTGAATAATATTCTGTAAGTGGGATCTATTTGGTACTTTTCCATTCTTCAAATGATACCTTTTAGATTCCTTATACTGGTTAACCGGAACACACGGTCCTTATTAAATGAGAATTTATTGAGAGAGATTTTTGTACTTTTTCGTTTTTCCGATGGTACTTTTTGATATTTTTACGATATTGATATATTGAACATAGATATTGAAAATAAAATTTAAAATGTAGGGACCTTAGTCAATGAGAATCTACTGAAAGGGACTTTTGATACTTTTTCATTCATCAAATTATATTTTTTGAATTGTATATAATATTGAACATAGAAACATAAAATTTTTGATTAAATGATAATCTATTAGAGGTACTTTATAGTACTTTTTTTCATTTAGTACTTTCGAAATTTTCTATAATGTGGAAGCTAAATGAATGAAACTAAAAATACAAGCTTCTTGCTGAATGCGAAGCACCCAGGGTATGCTAGTACCTGATATACAAAATAGATGTTAATATGTTTCTCCATTTGACACCAACGAAAACAGCAAGTTTATCTTCGTGCGAGATCGTCAACAACTTTTCGCAGGACCTCTTACTCCAGCAATGTTCATAGAAATTTTAACCTCACATTGTTCAAGCGATTAAACCACTTGTTGTTCAAGTCATGAGGGATTGTTGGTCGGTTCAATCGCTTACACTGAGACTCTTGTATCTCACTTCAACATTGCCTTTAGATCGGCTTGCAGGATCTGTCTTTCATAACGGTAGTATATCAAACCCATATTTCCATATGTGATAGTCATGATTGCGTCTCAGCTTCATATACCTGGAAATCATGAAAATTGAACCCCTAGAACTTACCGTTTACCATATCATGGACTTATCTTTGCAGCGTCATAGGCCTCCGAAACTCTATTGGGTTTTTTATACATTTAGCAGCTTAGAAGTCATAAGCGGGTTTAAACGTTTAATCCATAAAAAATTTCTAGAATAAGGGCCCGGCTGTGCGAAAACCATTATTACGTATTTTTTTTACAAAAAATACCAGTTAGAAAACGCAAAGGTAAACGAAAAGGTTTAATCCTATATACAGTTTAGCTAGTCTAATATATATCATAAATAATTTATAGAATAAGAGCCCGGCTGTACCGAATCTTATGTACCCTTCATCATTGTGTGTTAAAAACAGTCACACGTCACACAGTCAAACTCAAAAAGTACAACTTAATAACCAAAAAGTACCACAAAGTCCCTTTTATAGGTTCTCATTTAATCTGGGCTCTACATGCTTAATATTATGTTTCTAGGTTTAATATTATAGAAAACTCAAAAAGTAATCAGTTAAAGTACAAAAAAGTACCAAAAAATACTCCTTGGTACCAGAGTTACAAATTAGTAATATCCCATCAGCATTTATTTTCCAACACACAATTTTCCATCTCATTTTTTATTTCTGCTCATATCTCGGCTATTTATGGAACGATTTCGCTGATTTTAAATAGGAAACTTCCCGAAAGCATGTCGGAATTGTTAATGATTTAGGTCCCGCAAATATTTGATGTCTTCAGAAAATAGATTTTAACAAACATACAGATGGACAGAAAGACAGTCAGACAGATGGACATATACCCTTTTCACGAAAGTGAAAGGTATAATAATGACAGTTTCAAACCACAGATGAGGTAATTCTTTTTAAGTGCCAGTACATAGTTTATTGGTAAAAATTGGAAGTATGTTATTATAACAAAGTCTTTAAGTTTGTTTCGCAAATGGTTTTATTAGTCTTATCATTTCTCTCTCTAACAAATTATTTAAAGATGGTTGTATTTTAGGACCCATATAGGGGCTTAATAATAGGCCACTCTAAAATATATGATCGGATTATATATCTATATATGGGGAATTTCATGTCAAGTGACCCATTTGAAACCGATTTTCACAGTGTGTTCCTGTATGCCTAGAAGGAAAAAAGGCCACCTTTTATTTTAAAATTCCAAGTGGACGAAGTGCCACGCCCCCTTACTAAATAACTATTAAAAATAGTATATCTCGGAAACTGGTACTGCTAGAATCCTCAAATTTTGCACTAACAACTTTGACACATACATATGAAAACTGGGTGAAAAAATGGGCGAACTAGCAATAGTGGATGTGGCACATTTCACGCCTATATTGCTAGCCAATACCAAACTTACGTGCCAATATGAAAATTTTGTGCAATAATGGGCGGATAAGAAATAGTGGGCGTATTAAAATAAATCTGGGAAACTATAAAATTTGGAGTGCTCAAATTTCCTCCGAATCACTTTGATATCAATATGAATATTCAAGATAAATATCAGAGGACTAGAAAAATGGGGCGTGATACTTCCCATATGAATTAAGTACAATAATTCGTATATCGGGGAAACTATTGGAGCTAGAAAGCTCAAATTTTGCAGAAACAATTTTGACATCGATGTTAGTATTCACCTAATAAATTGGCGCCCATAAGAATAAAATAAAAAAATCGTATATCGGAAAAGATTTGGAGCTAGAATGCTCACGAAAAAAGTTGACATTCGAGTAAACATTTCTCTAATAAATTGTCGGATTACGGGAGCGTGGTCCTCCCCATATGAATTAAAGACAAAAATTCGTATATCTTGGAAACCATTATAGCCGAAATCCTCAAATTTTGCACGATTAACACTGAAATCCATGTGATCAATTTGATAATAACCGGACTAGCAATACGTTCATGGTATCTCCCATATGAATTATATACATTTTTTACATGTAGGAATATATAGGAACAAGAATCCTCAAATGTTGGATGTATTGTATTGGGTAAACCATCAATAGCAGGCATTGCATCTCCCATATAAATTAAATTATTTATATTGTTTCTAGGGTAGCGAAGCACACTAGGTATAGCTAGTGTATGTATAAAATATATATTGAGGGTAAAAAGTATGCTTCATTATTCATTTATTTAAGATTTAACAAAATTGAAAAAAAAATTAATTTATTTCACTTTGCAATTGTTTTCATTGTTATTCATCTTTATTGATGAATAACATCGTGGTTAACAATGTCTGCAATTACATTCTGAAAAAAAGATCCAAAATTTATTAAAAAGTTATTTATAAAGTAAAAAATTTTACATACGTTTTTCTTATCTGGACTTCCTTTTTGCTTAATAACACCAGTGTTAACAACATTTTCTACCAACTGAAAATATTTAATGAATATATTAATTGAAAAAGCTAAATTAAGTAACAAAAGTTAATAACATACATTATTTCCACCTGAAGGAGGTTTATCTTGTTTAAGAACACCCGTGTTAACGACATTCTTTGCTGAATACTGTAGAAATTCTATATTAATTGAATGTTAAATTAAAAGACCAAGAATAGAAACTTACATTTACTGGTTCAGCGATCGCGCCGACCAAAATTGTGCAAGCGATCACAAAAAATAATTGCAACAGTTTCATATTGTTTTCTATACGATCAAATCACTTTTTTCTACCACAATATTTATGGAAATACTGTTGTAAGTCTCTTTT